GGCAGCAAGCAGCCCGGTGCCCAAAGATTTCCATTTTGTCATGCAATTGCTTACCTGGATCCCAATTTATCATAAACCTGGTGTCCTCGGCCTCAGAGTGGGCGCCAGTGGGGGGCAGAGCTAGCCTTCCCCCTTTGTCTGCAGACAACACTGTCCCAACCCTGGTCTTGCGCGCTCGCAGACGCGGCCATATACCCGAGCACACGGAATTCCCGGTAGAACGGAACCAGGCTGAGGTTCAACTACCAATAAACGCAGGAGGAACGAGTTCGCAGTCCCCGAGCTGGCTTCGCCTGCGATGCGCGCCCGTCGGTCCACCCGCCCGCCTGTCCGCTCCCAGGCCCAGAGCGGCGGCCACCCGCGCCCCCACCCACTCCTGGGTTCCTGCCCAGCCCTCCCAGACCCCCCAGAGCTCGGGGTTTGTTTTGCTTTCGGAATGTGGCCCTTTCTGGATTTGGAGAGAGCCCCGGAAACCCCCTCATGGTCGGGAAATACAGACGCTGCCTTCAAATGCGAGCATATTTGTTCACGTGACCCCAAGGGAAGATTGTACTGATTGAGGCTGAAACTTTCACGCCATCCAGCCCCGGAGCGCAGCCAGGCCTGGGGGCTAGGAGGAGGGGCGGGAAGCGTGGGATCCGGGCCCCTTCCCCGGAGCAGGCATGAGTGGGTATGGAGCGGAAAGAAAGCCCTCATCTCGCAGCTCGAGTCCAACCCAGCCCCAGTCCGGCCACCGGCAGTGGCATGAGGGGCGCTGAGAGTCTCACCCCCCACGACCTCTGACCCTGGCCCAGCCTTCCACCGGACCAGCCCGCGGACTGGAAATTTTAGAGGCTGCCTTTCAGAGGCGTCTCCGGAGGTGACTATGGAGCTTCGGAGGCCCAGGGTTCCCTTAGCTCCCCAGTCGAGCCCGATACCTCTCATCCGCACGCACCCGGGCCAGGCTCCGCCTAGGCGGACGGGCTGCTCGCCCCCTCCCCGGTCGAGGCAATTAGTTGTGGCACAGCGCAGGCTCCAGCCCTAAGGTGGGTGACTCCAGCTCCCAGACCGGGGCCGGTCACCTCGGGGAAACCCCACCCCCACCCCCACCCCGCTGGGGCTCTGGCTCGTTCCGCAGACTCGGCAGAGGAGCCGCCACTCCCCAGAGCCAGAAAGGGCGCATAAGCAGCCGACCGGACCCGTAGCGGTCTCCCTGCTCTGCGTCTTGCGCGCTCCACTCGGGTTCCGCGCGGCGTGGAGCCCCCAAGGAGCCGAGCTGCTGTTTGCCGAGAGCGCGCGCCTCCAAACCTGGGCAGGGCTCACGGAATCCGCAGGCCCGGCGACTGCCAGGCCGCGGCTTCCCGCTTCCTGCGGCGCCTCCAAGAAGGCGAGGTGGCTGAGAAATCAGCCCTAGCCGGGCTTATCTGGGAGTCCTGGGAGCTTCTATTTTAGAAATATTACATCGGGACCTGTTCCCAGCACTCTCCGAGTGGTCAGGCGGAATTTACGGTAACAATTCTGCGTGTGAGAAAGAGTTAAGCTCCCAGCCAGGGTGAGCGACCGGCTTCCAGGTCCCGGCCTGCCGCGAGTCCCCAAGGTCGTCTCCCAGCCCGACCCGCTCCCCAGAATCCCGCACCATGCGGAAGTCTCCACCCCATCCCCGAAGTCTGGTTGTCATGGCCAGTTCTGCTTCCCAACGGCATCGGGCACGGAGCAGATGCCCTGTCGCCGCCGGCGAGGTCTCCGAGCGACGAAGGCGAATGTGAATGTGCTCAGCAGCCCCAGAAGAGCCCGGGAGAAGGGGGTAAAGTCCTCCTCATCCCCATTGCAGAGGCACAGGAAGTCCCGGAAGACAGGTCACAGGCTGCTCAGAGCCCTTTAGACCTGTGAGGGAGCTCCTCCTTTTGTTCACCTGGACGGGCCTGGCTGGAGGCCCACTCGGGACGCCTCTTGGAGCCGGACCGTGGGTGCCCCCAGTTCACCCCCACCGGAGTATCCCGCCCCCTAGCCTCCCGCCAGGGGCCGAGCAACGGGCCCGCAGCAAGTGTTAATCTCCTGCCAAAGAGGGGGGCCGCTTTGCGGGAATTTGTCTCCAGGAAAGGATCTAAGCCTTCTTCAATCGGAGCATATGTTCATAGAGCAATAAACCGGAAAGATTTACAGTCCTCGCCCGGCCCCCAACAGCCTCGCACCCTTTCAGGAATTACTTACGATGATTTATCACATCAACCCGGGCAATTGTCACACTGATAAAATAGCCCGGGCCGGTGCCCGCCAAGCCCAGGACTTGGGAGGCTGTTGGCTGCCGGGCTGCCAGCGGGGCTGGGGAGGCTTTTTGTGGGTTCCTTCTCTGGGCCTACCAGGGGATGGTGTGGTGGGTTGGGGTGGGTGGGGTTGGGGTGGGAGGGGAGCCAATTCTCATTGAGAAAAACGCAAGCAGCTCAAAGAAAGCGCCCGGAATCTGCGTCGGAGTCACTTGCAAAGCACATAAACATTTGTCATCTTTGAATAATTGAATTAATGTATTATTGTTTGAATGTATAATTCATAACGGAGGAAACTTTGTCTCTGTCCTGACGGGGAAATATACACACACCAAAAAAGAAATCAAAACATACACACAATCCCACAACAACTACCAACGCAGCCAGCCCCAGCTAGCGGGAAATCATCCTCAAAGCCAACGACAGGGAAGGAGGCGAATAAAGAGGCTCTCCTCCCCGGCACCGGCCCTGAGTTTCAAGCTGAAGGAGGAGAATGCCCGCTGCCGCCCCGACCCAGACCCCGGCAAGCTGGGGGTGGGGTGGGGTGGCAGCGTAGTGGCTAGTGGGACCTCGAATCTCCTTGGAGTGTGGGAGAAGAAAGGCCGAAATGGGAGGCAACCGGACAGACAGCTTTTGCACCTCTCCCTGGCCTCTCTGGCACATCCCTGCCCCAGGCTCCCCTTCGCCCCAGGGTCTCCCACCCTGCCGGCAGGGACTTCTAACCCGCGCCTTTATTTTCCATCTTCCCCCAAATTAAAAATACAAAAATAAAGGGGAAGAAGGAGAAAACTCCTTGCTGGGGTGGCCGAAACAGGAGAGCTGGGGTGGGAAAGGAGGGGAGTGGGAGAAGCAACTCGGAAATCATTATCTGTTGGTTAAAACCTGCCTGGGGTAAAATTTCAACTCGATTTTATAGCCTTCTATTATGACGCAAAGAAAAATTTACGACCCTCGCTTGAAAAGAGGGCCGGGGCCTTTTCTCACCGGTTTAAGAATAGGCAGCAGATGCCGTGACAGCGACCATTGTTCCCGGTAGACACAGGCGACCGGGCAACCTCGGCCCGCGTGCGCCAGGCGCGTCCCCCAGCCGGGCGGGTTTTTTTTTTTTTTTTTTTTTTTTTAAACAACTCCTGTTGTTTCGGAGCAGCCCGCGCGCACCCTCGCCCCTCGCCCCCTCGCCCCTCGCCCACCCCCACATGCTCACACACACCCTCTCTCTCGCTCACATACACACACTCGGCCGCTCTCAGTAATTTTTCATAAGTGCAAAGCTTTGCTGAACCAAAGGTCACCATCCAAGCCACTAACAACTTCTCGCCGGCGCGCGGTTCCAAATCAGGAAGCAAAGGGAACTATTTGTCAGCGGCCCTGACAGCTAAGTTCATTAAGGATTTAAATCCGAAGAAATAAAAGTCGCCAAAATATTTACCTGCTGGCCGCGCTCCCGCGCCCGCCACTGGGGGCCGAGGGTGGAGGGCTGGGGGCGCCGCGCAGCCCCCCTCGGCGGGTGATATTCTTGGGATCCCTGCACTTTCCAAGTCGGAGAGAGCCCTTTGCGTGGCAGATTAATGACGACTCCGTGTTTCTTAAGGGACGTGCTGAATTAATTATTTCGCCAATCACGTGGTCGGGACTTGTAGAAATCTATTCTTATCATCTTCCTCGCACTTTGAAAATTCTCCGGGTTATGAAAGGCCCTCCCCCGGCTGCCGGCGAGCCCCGGCCGCCCAGCCAGGCGCGGGGGGCAGGGAGGGCTCCCCAACATGGCGGGCGGGCGGGAAGCGCCTTCTGCCGAGGGTCCCGATTTACTGTACTGTACTCAAGCGGGCTCGGCTATGGACTCGCTTCCTCCTCGTCCCTGCCCGTGATTCAATACACACAACGGTATTGATGTATTGGTGGGCACAGGAGGAGCCATTAACCAGAAGACGGGCAGAGGACAATCATAAAATGTGTCTGAATATTTAAACTTCTGTCTGCGCACTTATAAATACACATGTCCACGCGTCTGAGGCGAGCCCTTCCATATATTAAGGACACGTCTGATTTTATGCATTCTGCTCATTTCCTGTCGCGAGCAACCCCCCCCCCCCCTTCCCGCTATTTTGGGACTCCTGTCTTGGCCCACTCTCCAAGGCAAGGCAAAGACGAGAAAAAGCCTTTGCAGGAAAAAAAAAAAAAAAATAGCGCACGGCACTTTTTATGGTGGGGAGTGTTTATTGTCGTCTGGAGGGCAGAGGGGGCTCTGGGGGAAGGGGGGGCAGGTGCTGGAGGCCCCAGTGGGACTAAATAGCACAAGGAAAGTAGGAGTCCAAGATTGGAGACCCAAATCTGCTGGGTTTGGTCCCAGCAGCCACTGGCCAGTCTCAGCTTGGTCCAGAACCCAGCACTCTCCCAGAGTTGGGGGGCAGGGAGGTCTCTCACCCACCACAAGACAAAGAGAGATTGGAGGTGTCTGGAGCTAACCGGGGCCAACCTGGAGCCTCCTTCTAGCCTGGGAAGTTACTTATTTTTTCTTCCAAAAAATAACGCCCTGCAGCCTGAATGCAACGTTAGGCTTCCCAATGCTCACAAAACATGGTGGCCAAATTGGGACTGTGTATGTGTGGGGGAGAGGTTAATGACAGATTTGCTAACCCTTACACACTTTAACCTTCACATGTCAGGCACAATGCAGAAAATAATAAATTGTTTATATTGAATGTTAGCTTTTAGAAGACTTAATGAAGAATGCTTCTTTGGAGGCACCAAACAGGATGGAAGTTTCGCTACACCTTTTATTATTTCAAATATAGATCAATGAATTACATCAAAACTACAGGCAACAATTAGTATAAATAATACTTTAATCAGTGGCAGCAGAACATTGGTCAATTCTATTAAAAAAGCATCCTGTGTGAACAGACACCATGGGGCTGACAGACAATGTCATCTCCCAACAAAAGGCTGCAATGGACAAAGTGAGATGGGAGTCTGAGGAGCAATGTCTTCAGTAAACACTTCACTCCTCCCCAGTCACGACCCCAACACAGCTTTAAAAAAAAAACACCACCAAAACAAACACTTCTGGCTCATATTTGGGGGAACAAACTGGAAACAAATGAAGGCAAATGGGCACTGAGCCTTTCCACATCTAGGTTTCTCCAGAGTATGTTCCCAGATGGAAACTCATTTCCTTCCCTGCCCTAGGTGGTTTTGAGAAGGGGGGGGGGGGGTGCTGCTGCTTCTCCCCTGCCCCACTCCTGTGGGCCCAAACGGACGCTGGGGTACGATTGGGACCACAGGGTTGAGGACTGCCCCCTGGGCCATCCAAGCTCCATTAACATTTCAAAAGACAATCCCTGGAAACTGAGGAGAACTGAGACTTATAAACAAAGAAGTTGTTTCTCTGATTAAGTTACTTTTCAAAGTAGTGAAGCTATGTTTGAGAAGAAGGTGGGTTTTCTTCATCAAAACATGCCTCTTGGCTTTCCTCTGGGACATGGGTGAAGTCAGTGAAGCAGTTTTGGCATTTGGTCTGAAGCTGGGGTAGATAACCTGAACTTCTGGGAATGGGGAAATCTATATAATAATCTTTATAATATATATGTAGTTGGGTGTCGTGAAAATATATACTTTTCCCCCCTCCCAAGGAGAAGGTTCAATATATTCACAGATTTGGGCTTTAGGAAAGAATCTTAGCAACTTTCCAACTTGCCTCTAACGATAGCGGCTCTTTTCAAATGCTACATCCAAAGACTGCTCTCCCCATTAGAGGGGGAAAAAAAAGAAGAGAAGGGTAGTTAGAGTCCAAAAGGTTAAGGGTTTAGAGGTCAGTCCTCCCGGCTGAAATACAGCTAATCGAATAGAAAATTTGTCCTCTGGATGAACCTGATTCTGTAATTTAGCCGAACTTCAGTAAAATACCTTTTCAGCTTCTCAACGTGAGGGCGTCAGAAAAAAGACGTCTTGACTATGTATGAACTCTTTGCTTTTTGTCATAGAAACAATGATGCGAATAATGCAGGAATATCCATCTTTAATATCCCGACGTGGCGATATTCAAGTATTGCCATGTGCAAGTCTGAGAGCCAGGCTCACCCCAAGGAGGAACAAAGAGCTGTCCCCAGGGTCTAATACAAAAGACCAAGGCTTGGAAGATACTTCAGAGAAGTGGAATTTCAGCCTAGGGACTCCAGTGAATACCTGCTCTCGGCTCTCAGGAGACACCAAAGAACATGCGTGCAGAAAAAGTCTTTTTTTTCTCCCTCCACTTAAATATATTTAAAAAATTATCTCTGAACTTTATAAAGCATTCTGAAGCACTGGAAAAAAAAATAGCTCCAATTCTTAATCTCTCTTTCAAGCTCATCCTTTTTCCCTCCCCTCTTTTGTCACTTTTTGGTAGCTACAACCAGGGGTTTCTTTTTGGAGCCCACAGCTTTGGGGTTTAAACTTCCAAAGTCTGTTTCATTTGAGTATATGAACTCTGGCCATTCCCTTTGACTCTTTGCCCCCCCCCCCACCCCCACCCCTTAGCCTTAAGGGTCAGCATTTTAGAAAAATGAGCCTTGAATCCTCAGGCAAGGCATAAGAAAAATGACTAAAGAACATCACTCCTCTGTTGTTTGAGAGTGATTGTTATGAAACCACTATTCTTAAGGCAAGGAGGAGGGCCTAAAACTTTTATACTTTTACAATCTCTGCTTCTAATCAATGGGTTGAGAAAAACTTCCTTACACTTGTTCAAAAAATAAAAAAAAACTTCAGGGAAAAAAACCCTAAGACCAACTTTTGTGGGCTTCTAGATTCAATTAGTGTTCTCTTTCTTTTTTACAGCAAGATTTCCCCACCTTCCCACTTTCTCCCCACCACACACCCCCTCTCCCATATAGGCCCGTACACCAATTCCTGTAAAATACTGCTACATGGGTTATTTGGAATCCAGCATTTGGAATCCAGTTAGAATAGAAAATTCAGTCACTATCTAATGACCCAGAACATGGAGGTGTTGTTTTCTTTCCCCAGAAGGAAAATGTTGGACCATTTGTTTCTTTCTCTTTTCCCTTTCCTTTAATCACCCAGAACTAGTTGTAAGCACAGTGCTGAAAAAAGCACATGTGGAAATATATTTTCAAGAACTCAACTTTGAGTGGACCCTTTGCTTCCCTCTAAAAGGGTTAAGGGCCCCCTACACACATTTCCGGGGAGTGGGGAGGGGTGGAGTTCAAAATGCCGGTTAGAGCCAGAAGTTAGTCCACACATCTCTGATTCTTCTCCCTGAAACTCAGTCCCTTTCACCTTCTTAAGATTTTTGGCATTAAGATGTCAGTTATTTCTGTCCCCCATCCCCCAACAAATAAATATTTAAGCAAATATAATCTAAACATAAAATAACCCAACCCATTTCCACTTCCTTCTTAGACTCATTTCTTTGGGCATGGGGCCACCGGGAGCAAAATATTTTTTTCACACCGGAAATTATACAGATAACCCAGAAAGTTCAGAAATCCTGGCCCAGCTTTCCTGTTTCCACTGAAAGCACCTAGCACAGGGATGGCCAACCTGCTGCCTCAACTCCCCCACTTTATTAAGCCACCAAGATCCCTGGAGGGGTGGGGTGGGGGAGGATGTTCAAATTCACACTGGGATAAAGCATCCAACCTTCATTTGCAAATTCAAAATCCAACAGCAGAGATTTTCATAAGTTTAATGACTCACCAAGGTTTATGTTCTCAGTAGCTCCTGCCATATGATAATATACTTAGAGAGAGAATCCCGCCCCCCTCCCACCCCCATCCCCGCTTCAGGGAGGGGGCTGCCCTCGGGCAGGATGCTAACCTAGTCCGAGGGCGGCCTGCGTAACCCAGGTCCACCCCACAGTACCTTAGAGCCCAGGGAGGTGACAGCAAGCCTGGCCTGCCCCCGCAGCTTCGGCTCAGCCGGGAGCGCAGGGAGGAATGGGCCCAGGGTCCCCACTTCTACAAGGTCGTCAGGTCCGTGTGGTGGTCCTTGGCCAGCTGCTGCAAATGCTGGCCTGGGGCAGCTGAGGAGGAGCAGGAGGAGGAGGAAGAGGAGGACGAGGACGAGGACCTGCCTTTGGTGTTGGGCAGCTTGTGGTCTTTTTTCCACTTCATCCTCCGGTTCTGGAACCAGATCTTGATCTGGCGCTCAGAGAGACACAGGGTGTGAGCAATTTCAATCCGACGGCGCCGGGTCAGATACCTGTTAAAATGAAATTCTTTTTCCAGTTCTAGGACTTGCTGCCGGGTGTAGGCCGTCCGAGACCGCTTGGGCTCCCCGCCAGTGTAGTTGGGGTTCACTGCGAGACAAAACAGACAGCACGGTCAGGTCAGCGCCCGGCTTCTCTTAGGGCCCTCGCCACTGCCGCTCACTTCCTGGCGTGCCCGAGGCCCGCGGCCCTCCCAGCGCACTCCCCAGCCCGCTCCCTTCCTCCCTCCCGCCCTCTCGTCCTCTGTACCCAGCGCACCCGCTCACTCCCACCCACCCACTCCCCCAGGCTCCGGGGCGGGGATCCCCTTACGTGCTCCCATCTCCCTGGCCCACCGAGAGCTCCGGAATTCCCTAGCATTTTGGAAAACCCCCCTCTCCTCCTCTACCAGGTTCCGTCCGCTCTGAAAATGGAGTCCTCCCCCACCCCACCCCCATCTCCACCCCCTTTTTCGCCCACAGCCAAGCAGCCAGCCACATGGTCCCGGCCTGCTCCCTCAGCTATAAAAATTTATGGAGAGAGTAATTGCGGCGCCCATTGAAGCCCCACAAGCCCCCACCCACTCGCACCCCCTCTCGGGGGCCCAGGCCTCCAGGCTGGGGTGGGGACTGAGAGGTCGCTGGACCATGCCTTACCCGAATTCACGTGCACCTTCTTCATCCATGGGTAGACCACCGCGGGCTGCTTGAGTGCCGTCCCGGGGGGCGGCTGCTTGGGGCCGCCCGGCTGGCTGCAGGCCCTGGCGCTGGGCAGAGGCGCGGGCGGCGGCGCCGGGGGCGCGGGGCACGGCTCTCCTGGGGCTCCGTAGTGGCCACCGGGGCCGCCGGGTTCTTGCCCGTGACCCCGCGTGGGTAGCGCCGAGCCGGGCCCGGGCCCGCCGCCTCCGAAGGTCTGCTCACCGAAGTCGGGCCGTGGGTAGAGCCCCGGGGGCTGGAAGTCTGCACCCTGCACGCCTCCGCTGTAGTAGTCGGCGCCCTGCTCGCCTAGGTAGCTGCCCTGCAAATATTCTTCGCACGGAGGGAACTTGGGGTCCACATACTTGGAGTTCACCATATACGAACTCATGGCCATTAATTTCAGAAGGTAGAAAATACTAATTTTTCTCGTGTTGTCTTTTTTTCTCCTTCCATAGGGCCCTCCTACTTGCTGTCAACTGAATAAAGTTGGCGGCCATGTGACCAAGCCAGCCAATAGCGAGGAAGCGAGTTTATCACCGGGTTGGTGAGCATCTCATAATTTTCACAAATTTAACTAAATAACATACGTGTAATCAAGTGACTCGCCATGGCACATTTGAGGGCCCCCGCCAGATGTTAGTGTAGTTCTCCAATTCCCCGCACCCTCATTCCTGGCAGGTAATCCCAGCTTTTGTCTGCCACTGACTTTGTTAACCTCCAGTGTCCTCTCCACTCACCCCCGCTGAAATACAGCCCCCCAAAATGGGTACAGTTCAAGGGGGAATGAAACCCCAACTCTGTCAGGCTGCAGAATGCCAAAAGGCCGGTGGGTGAGGCAGCCTCTGAGTTGGGCAGAGTACCCCAGGCAGGCAGGGCTCCCGCCCGCGGGAACGGGGACTCTGCCATACAAAGGCCGAGTCCCGGCTTTGTCTTCCTCAGGGTCACCCAAAAGTTACAACAGTCTGGCGGGCCCGAATCAAATCAGGCGATGAGTAACTGCCAAGCTTGCTGTGAGTGCCCAGGATGGAGTGCTTTTAGCCAAAGTCGGTCTTACAGGTATGGCAAGACCGCCCTCCACCCAGCTCATACAGCTGAGGGGTGGGCCTGGAAGGTGATGATGGTACCCCCACCTCACCCAGATAGGCTCCAAAGGACCCTGCACTCCCTTTTCCCACGTGGAGTCAACGACCTGTGAGCCTCCTCACTGGACACCCTCTGACCTCACTTCATGCTCCTTGAGGGCAGAGTTGGGGCTGGGGCTACCTGGCTTTCCACCTTGCTCCCCAGTTCCCCAAAAGCCAGCCCTTTGGCGCTGCATTCATGCAACCAATTAAGGGTTTACACGGGAACCTCTGTTTAAACGTGAGGGGCTTCGGGGAAAAGGCTCCCCCCCGTGTCACCAGGCTCAGTCCATCTTCCTGGAGTCTAAGGTAATAAAACAGAAAGGAAACTGACCCGCACCCGGCTGCCTCTGGCCTCAGCTTCCGACTATGGCTATTTCGGAGAAACATGAAGTTTTTGCATCGACCATATATTCCCCTAGAATCGAATCTGTGACTATGTGGATACCACACAAATTCGGTTCTACAGGGTATATATAGACAACGTTACTACCTCCGGGTTTCACCTAGAGTGGGTACCCAGACCTCTGCCAGCCCCGGCCTCTTCCTCGGAGCCATCACCGGCCCGACGCAGCCACTCGCACTTTCAGAGAGGGTTCAGGTAGCTTGAAGAGCTCGGTGACAATTTGCAGCAACGAGTTCCCCATCCTTGCACCAGGGCCGGGGTTACCGAGCAGCCAAGGAGACAGGACACTCTTCTTAAGAAAGAAAGAAAAGAAGAAAAAATAATCCATCCCAGAAATGGGGGCTTTATTACCCTCCTCTCTAGATCCACCCCCTCCCCCTTATCAAGTGGTATTTTCCAGAAAGGAGCAAATGCCCTTAGTGGCAGGAGAAAAGATGCAAGAGGAGAATATCCTCTGCCCGTTCTTCTTCCCAGTGCAGGGGCAAGCCAGGTTGGCTGACAAAGCTAGTTCCCCAAGAGGTCTTGCATTTACCTTCCTGGGCCCTGTGCCGGGCTGGCCTCTCCGTCCTGAGCTGCAGACCCTGCGGCAGGCACTGCTTGCAGGCACCAAGCTGCCCTGGGCTGGGGTCGGCGTGCTAATGGTGAAGGGCAGGGCGAGGGGTCATTCGAAATCATTTACAAACATATCACAAAGTTTCATTATTTTTGCTTTGCCGACAGCAGCACACAAGAGTACAAAAGTTCATGAGTTGCACCCGCCCGCCCCAGTGCCTCAGCGCTGTCTAGGGCTCACCCCTCGGTTTAGGGCACCAAGAACACAGACTCACTCAGGGCCGGGATGGATTTCAGGGGCAGAAGGATGCCCCGGGCTCAAGTCCGGCTTTTGGATCTGTGAGCATAGGCCAGAGGTGCTAGAAAAAATTCTTTTTGATTGTTTTAATTTCCTCCTTGTGATTCAAAAATTAGTTTCAGCCTCAGCCTTCATCTGGTGGGGTAGAGCAGAGAAACGCCTTTCTGCCTCTCAGCCTGGCAAAATTGGCTGCCTGCTTCTACTCTGCACTTTGCATGCTCCCCACCCCACCCCCCATCCTTTGGTTCCAGTGCTGTGGCTATTTTGTAGGGATTTCCTGGGTGCCAATTCTAACCAGAGTCTGAGGCTGCCCCAAGCCAAATTTCCTTGTTGAAGGGGGTGGTTCCCCCCAACTTCCCCTAATGCCGAGTGCTCCCACATACCCACCTGCCTGGGGACACTGGGCCTAGGCTTTATCCAGACAAATTGGGGGAGCCTGCTGGGCCGGGTGGGGACCCGGGTGAGGGTACACATTTTCATATTTGTTAGACGCTGTGACCTGCATTTCACCTTATTGCTCCACTTGCTCAGACAGGTCAAAGCCAACGAGTTATTGATGAACAAAAGCGTTAAATATTCACCTCCCGCTCAACTGCCCATACAAATGCTTTTGATCTCTCGGGCTTTTTGTGCTGTGTTCAGCTACAGGGTGCCGAATGGGTTTGCAAGCGAAGAGCCCTGGCAGAGATAAGCACCCAGAGCAGGGGCAGCAGCAGGAAGGGGGCAAAACCGGGGTGTCCTGGGGACACCAGATTTTCCAGCCTGGAGCCCAGAGTCGGTTCCACTTAAGCCAGCCTGATTAATAGAGAGGAATTATGAACTGGGTGGTATCTCCACTCCTGGGGGTGAGCACAGCCCCCGGGAACTCAACTAGGCTGCCCATCCTGGAAGGCAAAGAAACCTGGCCCGGAGCCAAGCACCAGTTTCTTCCACCCTGAAGAGAGGGCGTCTCACCAGAGAGGATGGGTGCCTGGCTCCTACCGCCTTCCTTCATTCCATCTCCCATTAAAATAAAGTCATCTCCATTTTGCAGTAAGGGAAGGGTCACTATCTTTTCCTTGGTTCTCCTGCCACTACCATCAACTTAAATGGGATAGTCTTCCTGGAGACCCCACAGGCCTCCTCAGAAATGTACCTGTCTTCCGCGGCACATGCAACTCAGAAAGATCCAAAGTTCTGAGCCCAGGACCCCAAGAATCTCTGCCCCCACCGCAACTCTACCACCACTACCACCACCAAAACCACGTTTGCTTGCAACACTAGCGGCTCTGGCGCGAAAATTCTCGAATTGCAGTTACAGAGAAACAGAAGTGAACCAGAAGCTTCGTATCTCTCCCTCCTTGCTCAGCCCGTGTCCCCAGCCCACAGCCCAAACGTCTGGAGCTGTGGCCGGGGGAGGGGCGAGGAGGGATTTCCACTTACAGCTCAGAATTCGCAGCCCTTCCTTCCCGGAAGCGGGCCAACTGCACACACCCGGAGCCGTAGAGGGTTACGTTTTTCTTTCTTTCCTTCGTCTTTTTATTAAAAACAAAAGAAGAAAAGAGAAGACTGCGCCAGGCTGGAACGGGTTAAGCTAGGCTGGGGGGGCGGAAGAGAATCGCATTGCTTTGGTGTTTAGCAGGTTGGTTCGAGCAGAAAGCGATGCTCGCCGCAACTTGTTAATGGAGCGGGCTGCTAATTAGCTGCAAGCTCCTAACAGAAGCATAGGCTGCTGCGGAGCTGCACCTGTGCGAGCTGGGGAGGCCCGGGGAGGCCCAGAAGGTCCAGAGAGGCCCAAGGAGACAAGGGTGAGAGCCTGCGGTGTGCTCTCTTGGATAGGTGACTGTGAACTAGGCCCCAGAAAATCCATCCAGGAGCTCAATCAACTTAGAGCCTCCAACCCCGGAGAGAGCTTCCCTTGCACCGCCAGGCCAGGGCAGTCAGGGCCCTTCTTCCACCCGCCCACTCTTCTGGCGCGGCCCTTCTGCCGACACCTCCCCAGTTATCAATACCGCCTCTTCGCATTTCGGAAGAAACGGGATGGTACTTACAGCCGCAGCCTCTCATGGTCCCGAACCTGTTGCAATGAAAACGGGGGTCACTTAAATTCCACAGGATAATGAAGCAGAGGTAGAGGATACACAGAAAAATGACAAGGCCCAGACACCCCACCAATACCCAGACCTCCCTGCTTCGGGTGCCGCCCCCAGGAACTGCGCCAAGTTCTCCGCGGAGCGGGAGACCGCAGTCCTCAAGGGCAGACCCGGGGAGTAGCAGAGTATGGTCCCCAACACCTCCCCCACTCCATGCACCCTTGGGCAAAACCTTACTGGTTGCTTGGCCAGACTGGGGCTGCCTGTAACAGGGTTTCCCCAGTGGGAAAACGGGAAGCGAGGAGAAAATGGGCCTTTGTGTTTTTCCTTCTGCACAATCAGCCGGGTGGGCGCAAGTCCACTGGGGAGGGGGCAGCCGCTGCATCTGTCCCCTGCCCCAGCGCCCTGTCTGCCTCGCGCTGGGAGCAATTCAACCCCTTTTGCCAGTTTCAGATTAGTTTCAAATTCCTCAGCCCCAACTAGCGCCCCCCAAACCGGTCTTCTCCTTCCCAAAGAAGGACCAGGCATGACTGGGACTTGCCTTCCCACTCCTGCTCCAATTCAAAACAAAGAGCAATTTCCAAGGGAAATGAGGATTCAAATGATAACGAAGGAGGAGGAAAATCGATGGGTTTGAAGGTAAATGGCAATGCTTTAGATTGTTATGCAGCTCTATGGACCGGGCAGTATTTTGTCAGTATTGCTTCTGGAGAGCCCACAAAGCAAAGCGGTGATCCTCACAGGGGCTGGTGTCCAGCTTTAAGTTTTCATCCCTTCTATGATGGCAGTCTTCCCTGAGAAGTCTCAGAGGCAAAGCCATCTCCATCCTTATCCTTTCTCTCTCTCTCCCTCCCCCCGCCACTCTCTCCACCTAGACTACCACAGTTTCATTCCCGTCTGAAGCAGATGCTCCATTATGAGGAAGAGAGAGACAGTAAGTCCCTTTTGTGAGGTAGGAGCCCTCAGTTCCTAACTTTCTATGTCCCAAAGGGAGGGGAAGAGCCCAGGAGTCCCACTCTATTTGTTAATTTAGGTTTAGGCTAAAATGAACATTAATTTCGATGGGACTTCTCCTCACCCCAGGCAGAAAAGACAAGGCAGAGAAATCTCCCACCCCTGGAGTTGTCCTGGAAAAAGTAGTAAGTGACTTACTGTTTTTTTTCTCCCAGTGGGCAGGGGAACTGGGAGTCAAACTGTCTCCTTCTGAGCCTGGCGCTAGCTGGAGCCTCTCACTTCCCTATCGCTGCTCCAAGAACCAAGCATCTGCACTTGTATGCTCTTAACCTAATTTATGGTGGGAATTATATTTTGGCTTGTCAACTCTCAAGCCATAAAACAAAGTTTATTGGAATCACGTGCTCGTAAATAGCCACTCAGGTCTCATCTCTGCACAACCATAAATAACCTTCGGCTTTAAACTTTTATTCACTAAATAAAGGTTCACTGAAACTGTTCTCTCACACTTAAATAGTTCCAAATATTCAGGATGCAAGGGGGGTCATATTCATATCAATACCCTGGGCTTTTCAAATAGCATCTTTTCAGAGAAGTCTCTTTAAGTTGGGAGATAGGGCTATTTCGAAAAGACTGGTTGGTGGGCATGTCTTATGATTCTTTGGCTGCATTCACTGTGAGTACCATCAGCTCCTTTATTTCAATCATTTTCTAGCTCTAGATGTGGTAAATAAAGAGGAAAATCAAAGGTTACCTCTTACTTGTTTATACCAGAAGTTATTTGAGATTTTGTTCAAACTTCAACAGAAAAAGGGTGGTGAGGGAGAGGCTGGGTGGGCTTGTGGGGGGCAGTTGGAGTTAACACTTGGATCTGTATTGTTGTGGATGGACTCAGTGAGAAAGGTGAAGGTAGCCACATGCCTAGAGGTTTCTATAATTTGCTTAGATCTGAAAGGGGAGCCTTTGCAAGTGACCAAACTGCTTAAAACAGCAAGACTTGGGGTTTGGTAAAGTGAGAAACTGGAGAATAGCCCCATCGGAATCTTTGGCAACTGAAGCTCTAAAGAAGGTTATAAAACAATAAAACAGCCCTGGTGTGAAGGGGACAGGGTGTGAGGAAGCAAATGAGGCTCTCAAGGAACCCAAGCCCAGGAAGTCAGATGTCCCTACTCCCACAGGGCTCGAGTCCCTGAGCCCAAACCTGAGCACAAAGCTACACCCCCACGCCGCCACTCCCACTGGAGGGAGAGCCTAAGAGAGGAGGAGGGAGTGCACTTTCCTGCTGAGAAAGCCCAGAAAAGGAGCTTGGGCCTGAGCACTGCTCTCCAGGAGGATGTGACCTTCTGTGCTGGGCAAGGTGGGGGTGGGAAAGATGCCCCCAGCTCCTACCAAGGGGGGTAAATAAAACGAGAAGTGACCCCAGCACCCTTCCATAGCCCGCCAGAGTTTCCACCAAACAGTGTGAAAATACATGTGTTTTTGACGATTCTGGTTTAAAAAGCATAGGTGTTCTGTGTAGGTTTGTAAAGCCCACACACATACGATTTCTAAGTCAACTTCAGTTGCAAAAGCTCTCATCAGCAAGTCCAACCAAGCCCCTGAAAGAAACCCCTCTCTACAAAGATCTCTTTGCATCCTAATTTCTACCCATTCGCTGTGTATTTCTAAACCCATTTCCTGGTTTGACTTTCATTAGCTGGAAAGCCGGAGCTGTTAGCTCCGACCTACCTACCGTAGGACATTTTTTCTCCCCCCCCCCTCCCCCATTAGCCACTCAGGACGACCTTTTTTCTTTTACAGTTGGTAGCATCTGTTTTTAAAGTATGAGCAAAGATCGACCCTTTAAAAACTGATTTCTGATTCTGTTAGGACTAAGTGAGCAGTTTCAAAATAAGTCCCAGTTAATCCACTGTAAAAAAATAATTAGAATTTGAGAGGTTGAGAAAAGCTTTATTTCTCCTTAGGTTAATAAAACAGAATTAATCAAAGGATATATGACTTTCCAGGCAATTGTGATGAGCTTTTCATGGGGGGTGGGATATAAGGAGGAGACCAGGCTGAGGAGGTGGTTGAAACAATGCCGGGCGCCTAGTCCGGGCTCAGTAGATATTTTCTGAATGGATGGTAATGAAGGATGGTGCCTGGGCTTGCAGTCTTTACTGCGGCTTACACAGGAAGATTAATAAAATGACACAGACTACTCTGTATATTTAGATAATAACAGGAAAGTAACTAGCTATGCATACAGAAAAGGAGGGAAGGAAGACATTAAGGCAGACATCTTCAATTACTTTCTAATCTTAGAGCAGCCAGGAACATGATTAAGGAGAGAGTGTCCACCTTCCTACAGTCTTTGCTTGCCCCAGGGTCCCCAGTGTCCCAGGTGTCTGTGAATGAATGAGAGAGTGGGGATGGGGAAGAACAAACTTGATCTAATAAAAAGACTGAGCATCAGGGGTAACAACATACTAACTTGGGCCAGTTTGCTGGAGTTTTCTCAAGGAGTTTCAATGGTGGTGTTGGTGCTGGTAAGGGAAGAAGAGGTGGGGAAGGAGAGGTTGAAGCCTTCTTTACAACTTGTAAGGAATTAGTTTTGGGGGAAAGTGGGACTCTGGGCACTACCCCTCCCCATTTGGCTAGAAAGAGCCAGTCCTGGGAATTCCTGCCCAGAGAGCTCCCATGAGGTAGGGTCCCGTGTAGGACTCCACCAACCTAGAAGCCAGAGCAGCTTTTCCAGGAAGGAGGAGAAAGTGAAGGCGCACCAGCAGGTGTCAGCTATAGTCCAAATGTAATGAAGCCTACCCTCTGCCCACCCTAACGGTCCTTGCTATGTGGCTCCAGGAAAGAATATTCTGACATTGACTTTTAAGAGGCCTCTTGCCCAGAGGTATTGTTGAGCACTCCTCTTTTTTTTTAATGTTTATTTTTGAGTGAGCGAGCGAGCGAGAGAGAGAGAGAGAGAGAGAGTGTGTGTGTGTGTGTGTGTGTGTGTATGAGTGGGGGAGGGGCAGAGATAGAGGGGTACAGAGGATCTGAAGCAGTCTCTGCACTGTCAGAACAGAGCCCAATGTGGGGCTTGAACTCATGAACCATGAGATCATGACCTGAGCCAAAGTCAGATGCTGAATGGACTGAGCCACCTAGGTGTCCTGTCTCCTCTTAAGCTAAGTGTCTGCATAACCAGGATAGGTAGGCATGGGACTTTGAATGAAATCCCTAGATGGGGGGCAGTTGGAAGAAGGAGACTACACAGGCCTGGCACTTAGGAACACAGGATGGGGTAGAGCCAGAGAAGGGCTGAGCAGGAAGTCCCGAGCAGGAGAGAAATAATGATCCCATATTCCTGGCCCTGTATTCTATCACTGGAAGAGGAACCCTTCTCCCACTACCCTCACCCCTACCCCATACAATGGAGTCTTCTCATTGGAGGTCTGGCTTGGTGTCCTCTGGGAAGAAAAGGTGACCCCAGAAGAAAACTCCAATAGTGAGAGATGGGATCCAAAAGAATGGGCCCTGAGACAGGATCTCTGATGATGGAGCCGGGAGCGACAAAGCCCCCAGTGGTCCCAAGAAAGGGAGGGTCTGGGGTGGTCACCTTAGTACTTTGAGAAACAAGAGTGGAGGTTAGATGGCACAGGGGTTGGGTGTGGCTGGGAATGCAGCACTGCCCTATGCCATGGGCCAAACCTCATCTGACGTGGTTGATAGCTAAAGAGACCATGTGTGTTTTGAGAGAAAATCTGACCCAGATGAACTCCTGGTTAAGCCAAGAGAAGCAGTTTGGCCAATGGCTTCGGAGGCCCTGTTAGGAAAAATCTGTAAGTATAAGTCATGGAAGCCAGGACTAAGGGGGTGGAACCTGGTTACAAGGGGTGTGTGCGTGTACATGGGTTGTAGCATGAAGTAGCACTTACATAGCTCTTCTTAAAAGATCTAAGGAATCTCAAAAAATTGCAAGAGCTGATGGAAATCTGGAGGGATAAGGCCACTCCAAGATCTACCTTGGCATCGCTGTGGCCCAAGTTGGGAGCTGTGGCTCAGCCATCGCCCTGAGGCCAAGATCTTGAAACATAAGCCGATTAAGAGGGAATGGAACACTTCTGACATCCCACTGGCCATTGGCTTTTCTATCCTGCCCCAGATTTCAAGAGACTAGAAAGAAGAGACTTGCTCTGGTGGGTGTCAGTGATAGGTGGCAGTGGAGAAGGTGACTCTAGGAGCTGCATAGTGGGAGGCCTCTCTCAGGAAAGGCCTGAAGCCTTCTGTAGAAGCCCGAGATGTGCCTGTGTGGGTGCAAGGCCTCTTCAACCTGACATCTGCCCACTGAGGAGCTAGGGGCACTTTCCTTCTGAATGTGGCCCTGAAGTCTACCCATAGGCAGATGCCAGATACTGAGACCCAAGGGGGCAGGGCCTACAAGGCCCACCACAGCAATAGGAAGAGTCCCAGATCTATGTTCTCCTGGGTGAGCCAGCCTAGGCCTGTCTTCTCCTCTGTAGAATTCAAGAATTGGGTGAATGAACCAGGTCTCTTTCAGCTCTAAAAGTCTAGGCCTGATTGTTGAGCAGGAAAAGGATACTGATGATAAGTAATACATACTGAATGTTTGTTATGTGCCAAAATACTGTTTTTAAGTACTTAACCAGTGAGTTAATGTATGCAAGGTGGTGAGAATAGTGCATGGTACATAGTATTGCTGTATAAGTAAAAATCTTCATAACAACCCTTGAAGGTACTCTTATTCCTGCTTTTCAAGTGAGGGAACAGGCCTTACTTGCCTAAGGTTACATAGCAGGTTAGTAGTAAAGAATTGAACCTAAGCAGTCCGGACTGAGAACGTTTTTGTTCTCTTTAAAATCTTAGTAAGTAAGAAGTTACTTAGTAGGAAGTCAATGTTCCCCTTCCCTAGATGGGAGCAATTAATCAGCCTATGGGGTAGTGACATTTAAAAACTTGATTAGGGAGGGAGCCCCAGGAACTATGGGGGTGCTGAGCAGTAAAGGGAACTTGGTGCCTGGACACCAAAGAACCATAGAAGAATCAGGAGAGACTCTTGACCAGCGGTTCACAAATGGAAGCATGCTTCTTAATTGCCTTGGGAGAGAGTGCTTACAAAATGCAGGTCCCAGATATTCTGAGTTAATGTCTGGCCTGAGACCCTGGAACCTAAATTATTAACAATTTGAATGCAGGCCTTCATTAAGAATCGTTGGCCTAAAGTAGGGAAAAGAGGGAAGAAAAAGACTGCATTGCCATGGAGGATCAGTGGGGTTGGATCAGAGCCCGATGTTGAAGGTGGGTGTCACAATGGTGCCAGAAACACCCCGTGGAGCCCACCAAAGTCCTGAAATGGGCGCAGGTGTGGAAGAGAGTAGAGATGACAATCTGCAGTGTCCTCAACCTGCAAAGTCAATGATATTCTCCCTTTGAGAGCCTCAAGGAAGGCCGGAGGGAATCCTGGAACCCAAGCCCGGTCGTAGGAAAGCCAAGTCTAGGCCCTTCGGACCGCGTCGGGATGGGGGGCCCTGAACGCAGTGCTTTTCAAGGCTGTCCGTTCTGGGTATCAGGGATCGCAGTAAGGAAGAGTGGCAAGAACAGCAGCCCAGCCTCAGGGGGCTGGTTAAACGCGGCTTGTCCAACCGCGGGACCCTGGTTTCCTGCTCTTAGCCCAGTGCGCAGAAATCGCGCCACCTCCGGGAAGGCGGAGGAAGTGAGGTGGCCTGCCACCACTACCTTCAGGCTCCGCGGCCTCAGTTCTGCCTCGGCTGCCCCTCCAGGGAAGCGGCCCTCTGGGGGTGGGTGCCGTACCTCCGACCCTCCTCTGAGACCGAAAGCACCCTGCGATTAGAAGAGGAGGGAGGGGAGTCACATGTGTTTCCCTACCCCCGCCCGCGCCCGGGGCATCTCCGGCGCCGCTGCAGCGGGCGAGACGCTTGTCCTACAGCGCCTCCTCCTGGACAAGGCGCCGACAGTCGAGCAGGGGGACTGAGCCTGCCCGGGAAACCGCGTTCTGAGGCTTCTTCGCGCGGGTGGAGGTCTTCCGCGCCAAAGGCTCTGAGCTGGTCCCTCAGTGTCCCCTGGGGCGACCAGAAGTCGAAAGGATCCAGAGAATGCCTCCCATCCCACCCCCAACCTCGTCCCGGCTTGTGGCCCAGGAGAGTGCATCCCTTATTAATTAGGCGAGTCCAGGCGGAAAATCCCTCCAGTTTGTCGTTTATTTATTTATTTGGCCGCTCTATGCTGAGCCACTGGCCCCCTCAGAGCCCTCAAACGTGCTGCTCTGGAGTAACAAAATCCGGGAATGGTCCGCCTGAAGGACTGGCCCGAAGTCTGGCGGTTTGAGTAGACGCCAGGAGGAAAGGCCTTTTCCCAAGCAGAGGCACCAGGCTGGAAAAAAATCTATACACTTCCCCGAGGATCACACATATAAATCTTCTTTTAAGTGTTAAAAGTGTGTGTGTGTGTGTGTGTGTGTGTGTGTGTGTGTGTGTGTGTGTGTTTCTTTTAACACCTTGAAAGATTTGGCTTCCCTTTGGCCACTAGTTCCTATTTGCAGGCTGTTTCTAAAGTACAGACTTAAATTGGGATGGGGTGGTGAGTCAAGACGCTTGAAAATAACGTAATCAACGACAATGTGGTTGGCTATATTTAGAATGAAGGCAGGAATAAAGGCAAGATGAGTAGCGAATTCTGAGGGAGGGAGGAGTGGCGAGATCAGGTTATATCTTCCTGCTCTGAGTACGCTCAACCCCTCCCCCCATCTGCGCCTTATGGTTAGATCCCCGGGCTGGGCTATTTCACTGCACATGCGCCACACGCCAAACGAGCGTGCGTGGCAGGCGCTTAGAGCCCTGAACGGTAAGCGCAGCGTGCGCGGCGCTTTGCGGTGTGTGCCACCGCGCACTCCTTGCGTGCTTACCTGCAGAGCAGCTTGGACACCCCGTCTGAGAGAGGCAGAAAACGTACTTTTTCTTTCTTCCTTCCTTTTTTTTTTTTCTTCAGCAAAACCTGTATTAAAACCCCCAACGGTCCTTTCTGATTTGCAAGCTCTGTTCCGCCAAACCAACAAAATCGCCATGTTGTCAACGAACACTCTCAAGGTTGTCATTTGGATTAGCGATTTCACATCTACTGCACGGTTTCTCTTGAGTCCTTAATCAAGGCGGGGTGGGGAGGGGATGACCCCCTATGGTCAGAAAGCACAACTTATCCCTCATTCTGCACAGCCATCAAGTCTAAGGGACCATTTCCTAGAAAGAGGGTATCTGTTCACACCAATTCCGGAAAAAGTGGCCCCAAATTGGACTTACATCGGAATTCCGAGTTCTTGGTGGCTTCTCCCTAGCTTCCGGTGCCCTCGCGTGCCCTGCCCCGCGGCCGCACTGCGGCAAGGCCGTAAATACCTCTAACAGCTGCCTGCCTGCCCAGAGTGAAATACTGTCTTTGTTCCGATTTTTCCCTGCTTCTCTAGTTCAGAAAGAATTCTGGCGAAATATACGTGTTTGGAGGAGCATCTGACAAGAAAATACGTTTGGTTTTTAGCCCTGGTGCTTGGCCACATTTATAAGAGCGAGCTTCGTTCTTTTCGCTGGTCCCCGTGAAGAGTGCAAGCCCAGCTCACAGCCTGACCGGTAAACACCAAGGCCCGGACATGCCACCGGCTGCCTGAACTATAAACGGATGGAGGTTCCCACTGAATACGCTGGGGGTTACACTTCCCGGCTTGTGAGCTCTTACAATCCAAGTGTTTCTTATTTAATTTTTAAAAATTAGGTTTAATTTTTTTGGGTTATCCGGAACAATGGGGGCATTTCCGGCAGTAGCAAAAGCGTTAACGGGTCTCCTTCTGGCCCGAGTTCAAATGTGATTTGCAGATTATTTACTCCCTTAAATGCAACCGACCACTTAGTTCCAATAAACTCTTAATGCTACCACAGGAGTTACAAAGAACCCTTCAGTCCTCCATATCTGCCCATGACCTCACCCTCTGCTTCTTAAAAGGACCTGCAGCCCGCCTAAGTTCTTAGTCACTTGGGCGCACTCAGCCACCGAACCCAGGGAAAAGTGAACACTAGGGCTTGGCCATCACAGCCACAACTCCTCCCCACCCCCACACTTGTCCCAGCCCACCTAGGGGGCTCCTTAGGCCAGGGGACAGGCCTACGTGCCTGACCAGGGGCCTGCTTTTCAATAGGCAATGCTTTTTACCAATATGAAACAATGATCTCAACAGCCATTGTACCGTAGTGGCGAAATAGTTACAAAATGCAGACATTCCGAATAAAAAATATCATTCAGTTTCTTATTTGTGAGCTCATAGTGATCCACCACAATCCCTCAGACGTCAACTGGCCACAAATAGTGGCCCTCCATTTTGAAACCAGCGTGATTCCATCGTGAATTGCTAAAAATACCTTTCTACAAAGATGTCATTTATTGTTTAGAAATACATTTATGGTCAAAACGATTACAAAGGAATATCTGGACTACTAGGACTCGCCGCTGGGTGCTTTGGGGAAGATATTCAGCGGTGCGCAGGTCCATCCCATGCGCAATGCGGCAGATTGTCCACAGGTTTTAATATTTCGCAAGGTGTTCATGAGGGAAGAGTCAAGAGGATTTTGAGAACTGCATCCTTAAGTACTGTTCAAAATAGGTGGGATAAAAGCATTCTTTTTTTCTGCAAAGGATTTTCTTTTGATGCATAGATAATGTTTCAGTTCAGTAATTTTGAAGTAGAGGGTAAAATGTTGCTATACAACGTTTATTTGTAGGCAAACACCACGACAGTGCATTTAGAAAGCAAAACATCTACTCTTTTCCTCTTCTGGCAAATAAGAAAGACACGCGATATTTGAACTTAGACATGGTTTGCATTTCTTAAATATCTATTGCTTTTTACCCAAGACCTGCACCAGCTTTTCTGATACTATTACCTCCCAAAACATGTATACATTTTGCGACATAAAATAATCCAATTTCACCTAACAGATTATTAGATATGGGGGAAAACGTTCTCGTTACAAAAATTCTCTAAAAACTAGAGAAACGGTTTAAAATATTTAAAATTCCATCTCATACATAAAGCTCAATAAAGCCTAGAAATCAGCCAGCATCACTCACCAAAGCCTAGATTAACAAACCAAACACATCTTGGGTATACAGAATCCACCCCACCCCCACCCCAAGCCCCAACCCTCAAAAAACACCTGTTAGCCTCCCAGATACCTTTGACCACAGACAAGCCGCAAAACACTGCTCTATACTATAGAATGCCTTCAAGTGATCCACAGCAAAGCTAAGCCGTCCTGGAACCATCTACCCATTCTTCCCAGGGTGGGGATTGAGGAGCTCTCCATCCAGGCAGTGGGGTCCTATCTGCTGCTCTCCACCTCTCGGAAGCTCGAGAGGAAATGGGGCTTCCCTTCGACTTCTGAGCTCAGCTGGACCCCATCCGGGGCCCCAGGGGGTGCCTGCTCAGAGGTGGAGTGAAGAGGAAGCCGGGGGCGCAGTCACCCCAAGGTCCCGGAGAAGTACAGGGAGTCGGGGCAGGCTCACTGGGCTGCCCAAGGGGGTGGGCGCCTGGAGCTCCTCGGTGGCAGTGCAGGGGCGCGGGGAGGGGCGACTCTTACCCGGAGGCTGCCAAGCAGGAGGCGGCGGTCGGCCAGGGCGGCTGCAGTAATCCATTGGGCGCTGCCGGGCTACGCGCACTCGGGGCGGCAGGGATCCGCTCGTGTTGGGGAAGGAGTCGCGTCGGAACCGCGCGGCTGCAGTCACCCGGAGCAGGCCGGCTGCTCCCGGCGAGCGTTGTCGGCGCCGGCGGGGGCCTCCGAGCCCAGGGCTATTTCCGGGCTCTCCCGCCCGCCGGGCTCCCCACCGGCTCCGGAGGCGGCAGCGGCGCGGCCCGAGCGAAGCGGCGGTGGGGCCACGTTGGGCGCCGGGCGGGAGCGGAGGCCGCCGCGGACCCCGCAATCCCGCAGCCGGCGACTGGATCCCACCTCTGCAGAGACAAAGGTTAGAAAAAGAGGGGGTGAGGCTCCAGGAAGGCAGAATGCGGGGGGAAATTCGCCTGGGAAATCAGGAAAAAGGCCGTGAAGGCGAGCGGCGCCTGCACATGACCAGCCGCAGCCAATGACGACCGCAAATAGGTCATAAAAAGGTCTATTACCAAGTTGTAAATTTTCTTCAAACAAAAAGGAATTTGCTGCAATTCCTTGCGGATTTTGCACATACAGCTCGCAAGCGCCATGTTTTTTCCTCTCTTTCTCTCCCCGCTCTCTTCTGTTCTCTCTCTTCCTCCTCCTTTTCCTTCCTTCCTCCTCTCCTCTTTCTTCTTCTCTGCTCCCCTCTGTTGTCTCTGCGTCTCTTGCCTCCATGGGTCCTGACTCTCACCTCTTCTAGGAAGTATTTCTTTTGCTCTTTTTTTGATTTGGCTCGAAACCTCTGCTGAATAGGGCGTTGTGTTAGAGGGGAAATGAATGCGGTGTACTGCCCAGGCGCTCGGGGAGTTGATCCTGGCAGTCACCCCCCTCTGACTCTCCTTGCGCGGGTCACTTGGCTTCTCCTCCCCTCCCCTCGCAGAAAGGCCCGCTCCGGAGCGGCAGCCAAGCACTTTCGGTTTTTGCCCCTCTCATCTATCTGCAGGCAAGCCAGCCCCCCCCCCCCCCCCCAGCGATCTTGCGCAGAAAACCTGGGCTCTGCAGGCCAAGAAAGCCCGCCGTCCCCCTTTCCCTCTCCAACATAAATTGGGGTCCCTCCCATTTCTTTGGGTTTCTGGGGGTAGGAGAGGTACCAACCAGCTCAAATCCTGGTGATGGTTTTAGGTTGCTTGTCAGGTTCTCCAAGATAACAGTTTGAACTCCCAATGCTTGGCGATTTATCTTGGCAGAAATATCCTCCTGGACAGTACCGGGTTAAAGGAGAAGCAGTCTTTCTGGATCCCCTATGAAACCCCTTGCTGTGTCTCCCCTAAGTGCACTTCTTATTTCTATGCAATTTAATTTCCCCCTCTTGCCTTGTCCCCAAAATGTTTGACCATTGGAAAGCCTGCGCAATGCAACACTGAAGAGGAGAGGGGTTCCATTTGTTCGGGGAAAGAGCTGATCCCCATTTCAACCTTGGGGAAAAAAATAGTCTTTTTTCTTCAAAGGCAGGAATCACATTCCTTTTGCACTTCTGATAGGAGCTGCTGCAGAGAACACCAGCTGAAAGTAAATGTCCTTGAGGTCCCCAGCATTCTCCTCATCATTAATGCATTCATAGGCATGGCCATCCAGGCTTCAGAACCTGTGTGAAAGAGGTAACCCATCCCTCCAAGCTTTCAAGGACACTGTCTTTGAACTTCTAGTAATGCATTTATAAATATTTGCATTGGATGTGTATGTGTAGGTTCTCTGCTATTAACATCCTCACACCCAGTAAGTACCTCAGTGGACGTAGACTTAAGCAGGAAATACATAGCACCCTCTGGAGCAGGCCATTTGTATCCCTTGAAAAGGTTCCGATGACCTTGGATGTTTTTTATTAAAGGAATTCTGTTGCCATCTGTCAGCAAAAGTCATATTCCTTCTAGAAACAGTGTGCTCTAGTTTTGCTGGAGGGAACCACAGCAGTAGCCAAAGTCCATTAAAATGTTCTCTGTGTTCCCCTGTCTACCCCCAGATGCCGGAACATTCAGCAAACACCAGGGAAGCAGAGGACACAAGCTTGGCTGTGAAATAGCAACACCTTCTGCACTGAAGAATAATAAAACAATGTTTTTAATTACAAAAGAAAATGTGTAAGAAAAGTGTAAAAATACGTGGGGCAAGTTTTGGGGGCCCTTTCTAAGCTAGAACACTTTATACTGGTCTGTACATGTGGAACTGAACAGAGATTGCTCACTTCTAAAATATTCTAAGAAATAATCTCAATTGTCAGTTTCCTCCTGCCCAAATAAAAGCGGAGCTTTGTGACCCTCCTTTTCAGCTTGGGGAAGGAGGGATGGGAAAAAGACATTGCATTGTTGAATAGGCAGCCATATTTGTACTTTTTCTCCTGTGCAGAGGTAAGCGGGTGTGCTGGGCTTTATGGAACCTCACAAAATGGCAGTCCCTGAACTGACTTTTCTCTAGAAACCATTGAGACTCACACCCTCTTTTGTGTGTTCCTGGTTCTCAAAAACAGAGAACCTAAATCATTTCGAAGGCTTGGTTCTTTCATTCAGTGTTAACATTGGAGGGTCCTTTTCTCTGAACGGTTTACAGACCTCTCTAAGCAGACTCTAAGCAATCCAGGGCTGAAAAGCATCGCCTGGGTTTGCAAAGGATTCTCTGAAGGTTTATGCAAATTTCTGCAGCAAAAATGTTTGCTCGCTTTTTGCCGCACCCCTCGGATGTTTACAGATTTGAGCCAATTAGAAGGGTATCTTCTGTGCTCGGCTGCATGAAATACCATGATGGGGGGGGATTTCTAGCCACTGTAAGAAAGACAGTGGGGTGTGTGTGGGGGGGGGGGGGGAGAGAGAGAAAAGAGAGGAAGACAGAGAGAGACAGATGTGTAATTCCTCAAACTCTTTATTTGGAAGCAGATCTATGATTTTCCCAGCTACAAAAAGAAACGTATATACCTACATTTATGACCAATACTTTCTGCAATATGTAATCCATGTTTATGTACAAATACACCAAATATATACCCCCAGAATACCAAATTTGTGTATGTACAAATACTCTCTAATGCACCAATTACTGCAACAGAGTTTTTTTCTGTACAAGAGCTACAATTTTACTGTGGATTTGGGGCCAATGGGACAAGAAGGTACAACACTTCCAGAGCAACACAGAATACGGAGGAAATGAGGACATTACTACTTCCCCTTCATTCCTTCATCTCCACATCCATTCACGTACCAGGTCTCCTACCTGAGTCTTGCCCCAAATCAGTGACTCTAAAACTGGTATTTGGGGAGTATTCCTGAGCAGGAGACCGCGAATTTTGCTAACAGAGGAATCCCCTAAATGGAGGGCAACCGGAGTTTAGCCAGCGAGAAGCTCTAGCCTGCTTGCCACCACCACTGCCGCTGCTACCACCACCCCCCCCACCGCCCCCGGCATCGCCCCCCGCCCCGGGCGGGGGCGGCGCGGCGGAGGCTGTTGTCTAGCCATGCTTTCAGGCGCTTGGCACCCTTGCTCTGTAGAAGCCAACAGCAGAGTCTCAGGCGGCACACAGCAGAACGTTTCCAAATCCAGCACGGACATTTGCAGCTGTCTCCTCTTGTGCAAATGTTTCTTAAGCCACAGGCCGCCCGTGACTTAAAATTGTCTTTTCTGGCTCAGGTCAGCGAATGCCACAGCTACGGCCTCTTCCCTGGATAGAAAGCTAGGTGGTGCCTCACTTCTGGCCCCACCCATGCCGACATTTCCCCGGTCCTTGAAGTGGCAGGCAAATAGCCCCCCAATGCCTGAGGGGCTGATTCAGGCCCAAAACAGATTCTGGGTTGTTTTGGTTTTTTTTTTTTCACCTGTGCAATAAAAACCACTTTGGAAATCAAAATGTACCTCCTTAAAAATAAAAACATCTAGAAAAAGCAAAGAGCTCTTCAATGTCTATCTGATGAGGTGCTGTCCGTTTGGGGGGCAGAAATACTGGTACACTTGAATTTCTCTTCTCCACTACCCCTCTTCCCCCTCCTCTTCCCTCATAAAATGGCAGCTGCAGGAGAAGCCTCCAATGGAAAATGGATATCTTGTTAATAACACATCCCAAACCCCAGCATCAGCACAGGCTCAGCGGAATAAGCTGTGGTGTAACCTGGACTCTGGGTCTTCCCCCCACTGGGCCCTGTGGGGGAATCCTTTGCGAAGTTCAAAGCTTTCACAGTACCTTGGCAAGGTTATTTACAGCAAGAGGAAGCTAGGATAGCCTTGCCAGCCCTGTTTGGAATGAAAAAGAGACCCCATCCCCTGCATTTATTTATTTATCTTTATAGCAGCGCAGTGCCTGTAATCCCCACTACTTTTTTTTTTTTTTTTTTTTTTTTTTAATCAAACAGAAGCTTTACAGCTTCTAGTGAGCCCAGGAGGTATTTCCTGACTCAGGGAAAGGGTTATGTGCGGCGCTCAAAGACACTAGCTCTAGAAAAAGATTCATTTCTTTATTACGGAGCTAGCTATGTTCTGGAGCGGTTGTTTACACTCAAGATTTTTCTGCATTTGCTCTCGGGGCTTGTTTCAATAGGTGAGGCCATCCTGGAGAACAGCAGAGGACGTACCAACCGACATCTGAGACGCACACAAGTTGGCTCAAAATGGGCGTGCAAACAGAGCGAAGGGAATACAAATAAATATGGCACCTATTCAGAGAAACGGAATCACAGCAGCGGCCACAACACAGAGACCTAGCGATTTCAGGCGATGCCAAGCGCAGTTCAAAACGAAAGCAAGTTGAGAAATGAGGGGCATTCCACAAGGCGACTAGCCAGAGTGAAAAATTAATGAGTGAAAATGTTACAATTGGCTTTTCAAGTATTCATTCACTCTAGATGATTAAATTGCCATAATTTGTATACACTATGAAAAATTATCAAATGTCAACTCTGACACTTTCCTGAAACTTTTCTCATTGGCCCAACGTTTTCCCCAAGTTTAAGGAAGCTGCAGAGCCGAACTACACATTACACTCTTCAGCTAACATGTGCTTTTTCAATATTTGGCCCAGACTTTTCCCAGAGATATTACATTTACAAAATACCCAAAGAAACCTTTAAGGAGTAAACAAAAGGCACCCGAACCATTCATTATAAAAGCAGAAATAAAACATAAATATGTTTTAATCAAATAACATAAAGTAAATATTCTGCAGGCATAATTCTTAAAAAAATTAATAGATCTCTTTTAATTTACTCACCATAAAGAAATGATTTTAAGTGTTCAAGTGCACTTGTTTGATTAATAAAGCATTTTATATTCAATTATTTAGTGCTAATCATTAGGAAGTTTATGTTGTTGAGGCGAATCACCAGCTCAGACATTAAAAACTACCATTATAAAAATATAGCAACAAGGTCAGTATCAAATTACCCTTACATAGGACAGCTCAAGGGCTGCTTCTATTCGATACTAGAAACTTTTTTTTTTTTAACACCCAAGCCCCTCTCAAAGCGCAGAAACCTCAAGAGCAGTGACATGAAGGTAGCTTGAAATACAGGTAAAGTTCTTTCCAACAAAGAAAATAGATGGTGTCCAACAGCATGTGTTGATCATTAGTTTTAATAGTCTGTGGTAAAAATTTAAAGGTAGAAGTTAATTTGTCAGGCCTTCGGCTCTGTCTTCCTCCAGCTCTTGGGTTTCTTTTTTGGTTTCTCCATCCTTTGCCTCCTGTCGGGAAACTGGGAATTTGTCCTTGTTGTTCTCTTTTTTCCATTTCATTCTCCTGTTCTGGAACCAGATTTTTACCTGTCTCTCCGTGAGGGCTAGGGCGTGGGAGACCTCAATTCTTCTCTTCCTGGTCAGATAAGGGTTAAAAAGGAATTCTTTTTCCAGCTCTAGGGTTTGGAAACGACTGTAGGTTTGTCTTCCTCTTCGTCTACCAGGAGCTGCTGATTAAAATAAACAAACCAAAAAAAAAAAAAAAAAGAGGAAAATAAACGTTTTAGAAATGAAATGGTGCCTCTGCAGGTTGCTGGAGCTTTCTGGAACAGGTCTAAAGGATGAAACATACACAAGTCTCTTTAGCTCTGATATATATAGGATATGCAGGCAAGAGCAACAGAGGGAAGATCTTCACAATTACTGTCCCCATCATCTTTACGCGGTTTCTACTTTAAGGGAAAAAAAAAAGTATTACTTTATGAATAAGAGCCACTATAGCTACACAAGAAGGAAAAGGAGAGAGAGAGAGAGGAAAAGGTAGTTTTTAAAGCTAGAACGTGAGATGAAAGCAGATTTCTCCCCCTCTCCCCGCATTAAAAAAAAAAAAAATGCATCCCAACCTTGTGGTCTCATCCAGGGAAACATTTGAGAAGGAGACGAGCTCTGATTTAAGTGGTCTGGGTCCTCGCCAATATTACCACTGGACGATTTACAGTCAGGATATTGTACCAGCTCGGCCTCTTGCTGGGTCGTAAAAATCGGCTGTCTCTGTAAGTTATCGTATCCGTAAAACTTCGCGGGCTCCCCGTGACAGGCAATCCCGCCGCAGGGGGGAGGCGGAGGCGGAGGATGCGGAGGAGGAGGGGGGGCGGCCTGGTAGGCTGCGGCCGGGCTGCCCCCGCCGGGGTGGAAGTAGTCCTGGCCGGGGCCCGGGCCGCCCCCACCACCGCAACCCGGTCCGGCGGGCGGCGGTGACGGATGCGGGTGCGCGTGCGCCTGCGGGGGCGCGTGCGGGAAGCCGGCGGCGCTGTTGCCATAGAGCTGCAGGGCGGCGGCGGCGGCGTGGCGGCTGCCGACCTCAGGCGCGAAGTGACAGTCGTAGTAAGTGGGATTGATGGCCTCGCCCGCCGCGGCCGCCGCCGCCGCCGCCGCGGCCGCCGCCTTGTACTTGGAGTACAGCGGGTTCACGAAGTAAGAGCTCATCGGGGCGGCGGCGGCGGCGGCCAGGGGCCGAGGTAGGGCGGCCCCGGGCGGGCGGTGCGGAGCTGGCAGGGAGCGCGCCTCAGCGCGGCCGCACTGCCGCGGGGGCCTCTGGGGCGGCTGTTCCCGCCGCCGGGGCCGCCGGGCTACGTTGCTGCTGCCACCCGCCCGCCTGCGCGCGCGTCGCCTCTGAGGCCTGGCAGCCGCGGGCACTTGGCTACTGGGCGTTCATGCCCGGCTCTCGCGCCCGCCGACTCGGCCTCGCACCGCCTCCCTCGCGGGTCGCGGGGCCTCGCCCAGCCCCCGCGCTCACGCCCGCCCGGCCTTTCCCGGCGCGCGCCGGCTGGGCCACAATATAATCGCCGACGCCCCGGGTGACCTGCCCCGCTGCCTCCACTGTTTCCTCTCAGGCACCAGGCGGCCCTGAGCGCACCGGGACAAGAAAAAAAAAAGTGCGCCCGGCCCACGGGGACACTCTTTGGCTTCGGTTTACAAACCCCCGCTCTGGAGGGAAGAGAAAAAAACACCCTCTACCCGCCGCCACCTCTCACCTCGGCCCCCCCGCGGCCCCCTCCCACCGCTCTCGCCGCCGCCGCCGAGGCTGCCGCCCCGGTGCGCCCCGGCGAGGCATTTTCGCACCACGCCACTGTGAGGAGAAGATGGGGGCGAGATAACCGCGCGGAGGGATCCGCGCGGAGGCGACACCGTCGCTCCCGACGGGACGTCTCACGCTGGCCGGGAGATGCCTCCGCCGGCCTTAAAGGGGGCCCATAAAGCCGCACTGCCAAGGGCTCGTCTTGCCCCCCTGGGCCTGGGGAAAGCGGCCCGCGGCCGGCGAGGCGGGGGCGCGAGAGAACCTTACACTTGGGGGAGGCAGGGAGGCCACACCCAAGAGGCTACAGGAGCAAATGACTCCCTCCCTTGGCCCCTAGAGCAGCCCCCCAGAGGTTGGCCGTGGCTTTTGCACCTCAGGACACGCGGGCGCAGCCCAGGGAACAAGGGCAAACGGTGTAGACAGGCCGGACCGCGTACAGTTGGGTTGAGTCCTAAGTGGTTTGATTAAAGGCCACAAGGGTGACCCCAAAACCTGGCATTATCAAAGCGAATCTAGTCCCTTCTTTTCCAGGCGAGCAGGCCTTGTGGAAATGAGATGTACATTTACCCTTGACGCACTGCACGCCTGGCTGAGGCTCCCAGGTTAATTGATATTTAATGGAAATCATGCCCATGAATATAGTTTCCATCATTTCACCCTTGATAGACGTCAGCAGTAGGCTCAGGGGGGAAGCTGAAGAATGTGGGGGCGGGAGGGGGGGAAGCAGGCATTAGCATTGCTGAGGGAGTAAATAGAAAAGCGGACAGAAATGTTCCGAGGCGGGAAGGAGAACTCACGCTGGGGTGGGTGGTGTTTCCTCGAGCAGGACGCGCGGCTCCGGGGTCCCAGCCCCGGCACGGAGCGGACCAGGGCGGGCAGTGGCCCCGGGCGGAGCACAGGGGGCCGACGCCTGCAAGTGCCTCCCCCCCTCCCCCCATCGAACCTCCGGGCCGGCTTTCGGATCGCGCCGGTTCCAGGCAGCTGAAGGCGGCGCCCCTCGTCTGCTAACGATTCTAGTCCATCTGCCAAGCCTGTGAACTTTGTGCTGAGAGCGGGCGCTAGACTCAGCTTAAAAAGTTACTAACTTTTCCAAAAGCAAGGAAAGAGGAGGCTCATCCTAGCTTGTGAGCGGTGAGGAAGAGAACCGTCCCGAGTCATGTGGGCAAGTCCAGTGTGAATCGGCAAAATATTCCTGATTTTAGAAGCTCAGTCTAAAGCCGCTTGGCGTTACACCACCAACTATCTTCTGTCCTCCACATCTCTTTTTTTCCCCTCTCTACTCCCGTTTTAATGTCCAATAAATGTAATGAGTCTATGCTGAGTGAGTGTTCCCTCGCCTGCTCGGCCTTTTCCGTGGGTTCTTTGGGTGACGGACGAACCCTTTTCCCTTAGGGTTAACCCATTGTTGTGAGGGCACCAGGCCCACACCAACCTTGGGAACCGACCTCCTCGGAAACACGCCCCGAGCCCACCGAGGACGCTCCGGCTAAAACTAAAACAGCACGCCGGCTTTTCACGCCAAATACAAATGTCTAAAAACCCGAGACGGCCCCCAAAAGCGCAGCAGGCGAGTCGTTTCAACTACCCCCTACTCGTGGGTTGGTCCAGTCTGGGAGTGCGATCCTGAGGTCAGTCCTTGTGGACTGAATCATATTTTGCAAATGGAGAAAATGAAGTCGAGATGGAAAGGCATAACAAGATAGTATGTAATACTCATTCAATTGTTTCTACTGGGAATGCCTGGAAATGGTTAAGGTAAACGGATTGTTAATGAATTTCCAGATGATAAGGACATGCTTTATTTTTTAAATTAGCATGGAGTGGAGGAGACTGGGGGCGGGGAGGGGGGGGGTTGTTTTCTGCTGGATATCGCCAGGTAAAACTTCCTTGAGATCCGAAGGCGAACAAATAGATTCTGATAGTTAACGACTTGTACTCCAATGTTGCAAATACCCAGTTAAAAGAGAAGTATTCTCAATAAAGCCCTGGAACCAACTTTGTAATTTTTTTTTTTTAACTTCAATGTTTGGCATGTGTGTGTATGCGTATTAAAACTCTGGACCAGTGAGTGGGTTTTGGAATAGAATGGGGAAAAAGAAGAACGAGCCCAGATGTCAATTATACAAGGCACCTTCCAGAACTGTGTGATTTCGGGGAGGGGGGCGAAAAAAAAAACCACAAGCACTACGAAATTCATTTCTACATGTTCTGGCCTAATTAAGATAACATTACAAACTAACATTTCCTCTTGGGACAAAACAGTTTCACCGCCCCCCCCCCCAAGCATTCTATTCATAATCTGAATGGGAAAAGGGCACGATTAACTTTGTAAATAAAGATCTATGCTTCTACACGTTTGTTTTGATAGAATGCATTAACTTAACCATAACATTTTATAGTTTCAGCCGTGCCGGAGTCCAAATTTTCTGAAATCCTGACTAATCCAAAATTTTATACCTAACAAAAACACGGCTGGAGAACTTAATAGTGTACATTGCTTATTTTTGCTTAAGTTTATCCTAATTTGAAATTAAAAATAAGATTGTAAATATATTAAATCAAAACCATCCGCCGCCGCAACGCCAGCTTTACGAGATCACAAAGTGGAGCAACAGCGCCCTCTAGTGGCAAAATGCCGCCTCCAACTGACCGAGTTTAACTTCCCTTTATTCGACTCAAAGCAGTTCTAATCTTGTTCTTTAGTTTGACTGGGGCTTGGATCGCTGACACTAATAATGCTTCATCCCTTTGACTGTCAACAAGTCAAGTGCAACAAGCTGGGGCTTCTGAACGCCAAAGACATTTGTACTCCCGAGAGCTTCCAATAGTCTTTTTCAAAAGCTTCCAGCCCTTCTTTTGCCAGACACAGTAGGTCCCCATTCCGTAATCGCCCACAATTATAGGACGGGCTAGACCGAACAAATTACAACTTTCTAAATATTAACTGTAACATGTTTTGTTTTTGTTTTTGGTCAGAGGAGCCAAGCACTTCGAAAACGAAGAAATGACCCAAGCTCATTTTATTATTTCCTTTTAAAGATGTTACTCTTAGCATTAAAACCTGAATATTTGCTACTTTAACTTCCTAATTTTAATCCTTCTGGCCCATATCGCTGGGCAATCTGGGGGCAGGAGAGGCAGAAATAGAAACCAATTTAAAAGCTTTCTGCTGGATCTCTGAGCGGCTATCTGGAAAGGCCCTGTTGGGCTGTGTTTATTGGAATTTCTATACACAATAAATGAGATTTTAAATTTACATCAAAAGTCACAGAGTGAAAGGAATTGACTAAGCATTCCACTTGAATTTTTGTTAAAGCAAAGCTTTAATCAGCTTGTTTCCTTCCAGGTTAGTCTTTTTCTCAATTTCAAAAATGTTTTCTTCTAATTCAGCTGTAAGAATTACATTTTCTATAAGCAAGTAGATATAATTTCCAACAGTACTTTTGCAGCAAAGTTTGGAGCGGAGGGCCAGGTATTTTTATGAAAGGACACGTAAGTAACTTCATTTTTCCCTGCCGGCTCTGCAACCATGCCGCTGGGAGACCCATCGGCCGGAGTAAATGACTCAAGATCACGAACTCTCACACCTCCAAATAACAGGCCAATTAAAAAGGAAAGAAAGAAAAGAACGAGCTAGACGGAGACCACAGTGAAATATTGTAAAGAGACACCCGCCGTAGGCTAATTCTAATACCAGGCCCATTTTAAAAATCAGAACTACATCATCTCCTCCTTCCTACCCTCCCCCATTTTTATTTCCTAGGTGCTCACACCTCACCGGGGGCTCCCAAGCCCCTGCCTTCTTGGTCGACACAGTCTTGTTTATATTTTATTGTCCAGATTTTAAGACCCAGTTTTGTCTGCATTTCTCCCTTCCTCCCACAAACACAACATCAAAATGAGATGGTTTCAAAGCGAAGCGCCGAGCCTGTCGTAAACTCATTACCTCCAGACGTCTCGCCGGCTCGATGGCTTTATGACACCTTGGCTCTTCCTGTTTTCAAAGAGCCCTAGGTATCGGGTTGGCCGCAGGGGCGGGAGTAAGCAGCACCTTCTGCCGGATCTGGGCCTTGGCTTTCCCTCCCAGCCCCCCTCTGCTTTTTCTTCAAGTCCCCTCTTTCATCAGGATCCCCCCAAACTCTGCCATTGCCCCCGCCTTCCACCCAGCCCAGGCCACACGGCGCCGCCGCCCCTCAGGCCTGCAAAGGCTGTGCTGGGCCCGAACCCTCACTTACAATGACCTTCATTTTAGTCTCTGAAGGCGGCCCTCTGAGGGCCAAGCTGGGGGCTAAACAGTCACCGAAACTGAGTTGGGGGGGGAGGGGGCGTTGAGAAGGGGTGGGGATAGCTGAGGAGGAGAGACTTGACCATTTCGATCTGCTAAGGTCACTTTGGGGCTCTTGAGGGTAGGGCGGAAGTTCCCAGCCTAACTGGCTCAGCCCTCCGGGAGCCAGCCAGCCTGACGAGCTGGGGGGAGTTGCTCCCGAGTACAGAGTTGGCCTTTCCCTTGTTTAGAGAGGAGAGTGGATGGCTGGTACTTCATCAGCAGCGGGAGAGGTGGGGTGCAGTGTGCCAAAGCTCCAGCGAGAGGGTGCCTGGCTTGGGGCGGGGGGCGTGGGCTTTGCTGGGCACTGCCGTGAGGCTGACACTGGGCCCAGGGCACAGAGTTCGCCGAGAAGCTGGAATCAGGCTGGGGGAAAGACAGAGCAGCCAAGGGCCCCCCAGAGGCTGTGCTCTGGCTGCCTCTGCCCACACAAAGGGAGACTCAGAGGCACATCAGACAGACCTCTCAGGTGTAAGGGCTCCAGATTTTTAGCAGTGTCTCCCTCCCAGAGATGGGGGAGAAGTCCTGTGAGGGTGATATTTTGCAGAGAAAAAGAGAAAGCAGGCACACAGTGTTCAGGGCCAGCGTCTGGGCTCCATTTGATCAGGTCAGCATTTATTGGTAGGAAGCGGTAACATTTACAACTGGTCCTCAGGCAGGAACCCGGAGGGCCTACACCCGCGGCCGCCCACGCGAGGTGAGCCCTCCCCAGGAGAGAGCGGCTCCTCCAGTGCATTGAGAATAAACCCCCGACCCACCAGAGGCCCTGGGCTCCTCTCTCGGCCTCATTTCAGGTCTCAGCGGAGGGCCCGCGGGCTCTCTGAGGGAAGAGGACTTCACTAACTGGTGGGCAACCTGGGCGGGCCCCCCACGGTTGTCGCTCTGCCTTCATTCTCAGAAGTGGGGCGCACTTGGCCCTTGCTTGAGCAGCTCTGGGGGCTAAACTACAGCACTTTTCAGAAACATAGGGGACATTTACACAAGAGAGGGCTCTTCAATCCAGCGTGCACTCACAAAATATAGCATTTCCTATGGAACCAACGGGTCAGGAAAGGGAGGGAGCGGGAAAAGGCGAAACCCCAAAGCCACTTGGTTTCTCCAACACATAAGCGAGCAAATACAGAGTCCCCCAAATACCTCACAGAGACCAACCGCACAGTCACTTCTACCTAAAAAAAAGGGGGGGGGGAGGGGGGAATGTCCGAATCGCTGGAGAGTTTCTGGAAATCAAGCACCCACAAAAAAAAAAAAAAAAAAAAAAAAACCCGCTGCTTTTGCAGCGCAGAGTGGTCCCGCCAGCGGCGCGCCGGGTCAGTCTCCTTTGGGGCATTTCTCCTTGCTCATCTTTTTCATTTTCATTCTACGATTCTGGAACCAGATTTTGACTTGTCTCTCTGTGAGGTTTAGAATCCTTGCCACCTCGTAGCGCCGGTCCCGGGTGAGGTACATGTTAAAGAGGAATTCCTTCTCCAGCTCTAGCGTCTGGTATTTGGTGTAGGGACAGCGCTTTTTCCGGGTGGAGCGAGCGTGGATCCAGTTTGCTGCAGGGTTGTCTACGAAGAGGGGGGTTTGGAGAAGGGGATCGAGGGCGGAGGGGAGGCAAGGAGAGACGACAGGGTGGGGGAGAGAGGTCGTTAAATTAATTTCACCAAGGATGGCCGCTTTTCACAACTTGGGGGGAATTATCATAAAAAGCCTTAATGCCCGCGCTCTGTTTACCGTACAAACCGCGCGCCTAGGGTAGGTGGTTATGGGAAGCTTTTTATGGATGCGTGTTGCTCGCCTAGGCTAGGGTAGGCGTCTAGACGTTTTTATAGGTTAGTAAAACTATCAGTTTTGCACATTCGAGCCTTACAGGTTTCAGCAATAAATCAGGGGGCAATTTCTTTTGCACTTACTTGGGTCAAGTTGCTGCTGCGGCGGCTGCGGATGCTGCTTCTCCTCCTCCTTCAGTGGGCAGCCTGGGCTGGGGTGGTCGCTGCAAGCCGAGGGCTCCGAGGAGCCGCCTGCCCCAGACCCGGACCCGATCCCTGCCCCGGGCCCGGTTCCCCCAGCCGCAGCTGCTGCCTTGTCCCGTAGGAACGAGTTGCAGGAGAACTCGGGGCCGCCGCTCCCCTGGGACTCCCGGGCCGCGGAGCACTCAGTCCGTTTGGAGGAGGAAGACGTGGAAGTGGAGGAGGAGGTGGAGGTGGCGGCGGCGGCGGCAGGGGTCGGGGCCGCTCCGGTTTCAGGCTTAATCCCGTAGTGGCGCCCGTTGGGTGGGCCGCTGGGGCCGGGGCTGGGACCAGGGCCCGGGCCACCTCCGCCCCCGCCGCCGCTGCTACCGCCTCCGCCCGCGCCGCCCGGAAAACCGGGCAGCGGCTCCATCCAGGAGCGCATGTAGCGGCCGGGCTCGGAGGCGGCGGCGGCCAGGGGCGGCGGGGGCACGTACGGGTGGTAGAGGCCGCTCATCGCCGCCGCCGCGGGGGGCTGAGCGGGCACCGCGGACCACGAGGCGGAGAACACGGCCGATTTGGGGGCAAAACTACACGAGGCAAACTCGGCGGCAGCGGCGGCCGGGCTGTCGGCCACACCTGCGGGCCTGCCCTGCGCGCCGGGCCCCGGCGGTCCAAAGCGCGCGGCGAACACCTCATCGCCCTCATGGCCTATGAGCGAGTCCACGTAGTAGTTGCTGAGGGTGCCACTGGAGGACATTTTGAGGCGCCGTGCGCTCCCACCCAAGGTTACACTGCCCGCCGCGGCGCCGCTCCCCGCCGGCGCCCGAGCCGCCGACTAGTTCGCAGGCTGCAGCTTCCACCATTGGTCGCGCGGCCCACGTGATCATATTTACCAATACCGGGAGTAAATCAGTCCGCTAAACTGGGGGCTGCTGTGATTTAAAAAATATATATATATCATCATCAGCATAAACGCCGCAATTAGAGCGCGTGAGCCCGGTCCGTGCGCCCGGCTCGGTCCGGCCGGGCTCGGACAGCCGGGCGGTGGCTGGAACCACTACGCCCGACCGTGGCCGGAGGAGGCGCTGGGGACTATTTGTTCGTCTCCTCTAGCTGTCCTCGGTCCTGCAGTTCGAACCGAGACGCTGCCTCCCTAGCGCCTGGACTTTCGAGCCACCGGCAGCGTGTCCAGGGCGCACCGAGCGCTTGGCCAGAGCCCGGAGCAGCCCGGGGAGCGCAGGGCGGGATGAGGCCCAAGCCAGGCCGGCCTTCCGAGGCGGCCCCCTGGCGCCCGAGGGGAGTTTTTTCCTTGTGCCTCTCTCCCTACCCAAACCCGCCCCTCCCTCCACATACCCACACACGCTCTCTCACAGCTTGTCGTGTTGTTTAAAACAGGTGGAAGACCTCTGTAATGATATTATGCCTTTCAATAAAAATTTTATGAGGTGTATTTGATTATAGATTAATGTGTCCCTAATAAAACGGACGGATGGAGCAGCTCGAGGGCCTCCTCCCCCTACCACACTCACACACGCCCGCGCAGCCACACACACCCCCGACGTGAGGCTGAGCACACGCCGCGGCCCGAAGGGTGAGCTGGGGCGGCCTGGCCCGCCGACTGGGTGCTTCGCTGGCCACCGGTGGGGCTTCTGTGTGCCCTCGGGAGTGCCGGCAGGCTGTCGAGTAGGCACCGCGAAGACAGTGGCGGCCAGGGTGCCTCGTCTTCTCCGGGGCTGCCGGAAAGGCCCTGGAAGAGAACACGCCATAGGGCAGAACCCAAATGCTAGCGCAGGCCCGCTCCCATCCACCGCCCCAACCCTGCCTTGAAGAGGCCAGCGGGAACCGCATCTCCCCGGGGCCAGGACCGCTTCTTGTGGTTGTCCTTGGGCCACTGTCTTCTGAATTCTTCTTCTTCCTTCCCCACCCCCTCCCCCCCTCCAGAGGTAAGGCTGGGCAGCCTTGAATCTGAGGGAAATGCCCATTGTCACTCCCAAATCCATGGTACAAAGCCTCGGAAGCGCCGCTGGGAGCCGAGACAAAAGCAGCCCCAGAGCAGGCGGCGGAGAATATATTCCTCACTCTACAAGTTGCTCAGAGCACCCTTGGAGGGATCCCAGCCCACCTCGAGCCCCGGAAAGGAAGGGGGTAAATGGCTACTTATGGCCTGATTGATTGCCTTTGCCAATGGCTTTCTGATTTTGTTCCAGAAGAGATGCCTTTGCCTGTAGCACGGGTTTTCCTCCGAGACACGGCCCCCTGTCAACAACTAATGGCGCTCCCCACATTGCAGGGAGGAAACGGACAAGTTAAAATTGCCCTCCTTCTCCTGCCCAACCAATGGAGGTCTGGGCAAATCTATCCCAGTGTTCCCAACCTGGCATTGACTCCGAGCCTTCTCTCTCCCACCCCTAGGAAATGGCTCCCCTAAAGGGTTCGGTCTTGGAACTGGGGAAGGTTCTTGGTTTTCAGGAGGAGGTTTACAACCCTGAATAAATACGGAGCCTCCCATTGACTCCCTGGATGAGAACTGTAAGGCCTAAGAGCCCCTCAATAGATAGTTTTATGGAGAAAAAGGAAGAAGTGAAAAGGCCGTGCTTTGTGAGGCTGCTCGAAGCTGGTGGAGAGCTTTTGCAACCACAGCACAACCTGGGGAAACGAATTCTCTGTCAGCTCTTCTCCCTTCTCCCAGGCAGCACTAGATAAGTCTGGACTCTCTCGGTGAAGGCTGGCTGGAGGTTTCCAAGCTGTGTCGGCAGCTGGAACACTGGACTTCGTGGGAAGTCGTGTTCATTTGCAAATTCTCTCTCAGTCACCTTTTGTACGTTTTCTTGCCTCCCAGAGACAGTGGCTCCAACCAGCATTTTGTAATTAAATAGAGAGAGCATTACCTGGGGGGGGGGGAATTTCCTCCTTTAAGAAAATTTCACGTGGGACCCTGAAAGGTAATGACTGAACATAAAATCCTTCCACAAGGAAACCAGGGCAAAGTGGGATGGGAAAACTCACCCATCCTCGGCTTCGCTGTGGCCTGGCTTGTCTTGCGCTTGGGATAGGGGTGGGGGTGAGGGAAGGGGGAGCAGAACTGGATCCGATGCAATGCTAGCTGCTGGTTGTCCTTGTTCTTGTAATGGAGGCCCGGCGGCTTCCAGGTGGGCAAGACCGCTTTCAACCTAGCCCCTGACGATGGCGTGCCAGCCAGAAATCGCCAAGACCCCACTAAAAGTATTGAAAAATAACACAACCAAAACCAAAGACAGGAAAACACACAAATGAGGTGCTGTGAAGAAAAAAGCAGCGTGGGCACAGGCTTACTTACCAGGCTCTGGTTAGAGGGGAACTCACACCCATCTAGAATTCAATTCTGTTACTACCTTGGGGAGGGGGGGGGGGGGAGGGTGGGAGAGGCGGGGAGAAGACTCCCCTTCTTCCCAACTATGAAGCCAGCACACCCAGGCTGGATTATCATTCCCCCAGCCACTGCCAAATTTTAGCGCCCTAGGCCTCCTCCAGCCTCTCCTATCTTCCTCCCCCTGCCCTCTATCACCGCCCCCCCCCAATGCCCCCAAACAAGCAGTTTAACAGGAAGATAATCTCACCAAAGGCTTTCATTTCCACCGAAACATACATCCGTTTCAGAAAGCAGAGGGAGCGAACTCGTTTCCAGAGTTTATTGCATTATACATGCGACCAGAACATGCACAGAAAGGACAGGTTGCTGTTGTACTTCTACCAAACCACAGATGCACCACAAGGGAAGGCTACAAGGCATAAGTCGTCAATATTCCATCTCACCAAGGACAATTGCTAAGTTCATTTGTGAAAAGATACATTGTAATGTGCTTTTTTAGTCCCCCTCCCCCCAAAGCTTGTGGGTTTTCGTAATCTTTTTTAAATATATATGTAATTTAAGTACTTTAAAGTACTGGATGTATTCAAAACGCCATGAGATCATGGACTAACCACACACACAGACCTTTTGTGTTAGGAAAAACATGAAAAAGTCACATTGCTGGATGGATGAATGGACCGATGGAGGCTGTACAGTTCCAATAAGTTAAGACCCAAATGAAAATGCGCAGTAATAGTTACCCTGCATTACGATGAAAAAATAATAAATTACACGTGCTAGTTTTTTTTTAATATATATATACTCATAGGGATTACAGATCACTTGCAGCACGAACAGAATGACCCCAAAGTCACATTCTAGCAGGAAACAAAACAAAACAAAACAAAAAACAAAGAGCAATGAAGGTTTTGTTTCCGCCTTCCCAGTCCTCCAGCACTCGGCCCTGGAACGCGGTGCCCCCTCTCCGATCCCGGCCTCCGACGGGCCTGGGACCTAAGAGAAGGTGAGGTTGGCGGTCAGTTCTCGGATCCGGTTCTCTCGGCTCATCTTCTTGAGTTTCATTCGGCGGTTTTGAAACCAAATCTTGACCTGCCTGTCGGTGAGGTTAACGCTCTTACTGATCTCTAGGCGGCGCTCGCGGGTGAGGTACATATTGAACAAGAACTCTTTTTCTAATTCCAGCGTTTGGTGCTTAGTGTAAGGGCACCTCTTCTTTCTGCCACTCTTTGCAGTGAGCCAATTGCTGGTTGGAGTATCAGACTTGATTTCCTCTAACAAAATTAAAGGGAGAAGAAGAAAAAAAAAATCAAGATTTTTTTTTTTCTCTCTTAGCCTGTTCAAATGTACCCTTGGCCATGACCCCGCTGGCAGCCAGGCCGCTTTGGGAAATGCTGGTATTAAACATTCCTCTCATGAGGTGGGCCCTGGAAGGGATTTGTAATTGATGCCAGATTAGTTTAAATGCCCACAACGACACGATGGAGGGTACTCTCGCCCTCGATGCTAGTAGGGTTGTCTCTCTCTCCCTCCCTCTTTTTCTCTCTCAACTTTCTGACCTGCACAAAACATCAGTACAATAGTAAACTTCCAGGATCTCCCCAGCAACGTTCTAAGTGGTCAGCTCACAACAGGGCGGGAGTGGAAGAAACAAACCACAGCCTGAACAAGACTGCCGACCCCACTGCTGCCTCACATCCCCAAGGCTGCCACTTCTTCCCCACTTCTCCTGCGCAGGCGGGGAGCCCCACAACCAGGTTTATAGTTGCCTTTCTCTTTCAAAAGATAACCAAGGAACTGAGTGCACCTTCTCCGACCTGCCTGGGCATTGAGGTACTCCCCAGAATTTCTTGAATTCTCACACCTTCTTGTCTCCACACAAAAGCATTCCCCGAGCTTCTTACTGCGGCCCACCTCTGGACACTGGGGGAGAGGCTCTGGGGCAGGGTTCCTCCTCAAAAAGCCAGAGCCCCTGGCTCTTTGCCCTAGCCCATGCAGATTCCATTCTCCTCCCTTCAGCCTTTGCCCCCTTTGCGAATGGATTGCAAAGCTTGCGGCACTTTCCCCAGACAAAGCCAAGGTTACCCAGCCCCGCAGAGGTAGGGAGCCCTGTTCCCCAGCCCAAGCGCCAATCAGCCCAGTCATCTCGTTCCCATTGCCGCCCCCAAGCTCGCAGGATGCGGGGTGCACACACTTGAACACGAACACGGTGCCTTGGACCACCTTAAAATCATCATTGGGTGAAAGGCAAAGCTGGGACTGCAAATCTGAGCGGGAGAAAGGAGGTTCTGGGGCCGTGTTTACGAGCCGCAGGTCTCATTTGCCCTCTTTTGTTGCATTTCAGGTCTAGCTCAGGAAAAATAAACCCGGCAAGCCCTTCCTCTGCCCAGGCGCCATCAGCGTGGGGCCAGGACTAGCCAGGAGGGCCAGGGCAGCCGGGGAGAAGCTGGGACCTTCTCGAGACTGAGACTGCCCCTCTAAAAGCCGGGAGGAGCAGCACCTGCCAGTCGGGCCCCGCCTCAGCTGCCCCGGCTCGACGCTGGGCACCCAGGCGCTCCCTCTCTGCCGGGTTCCCGGGCTGCACGCCCCGCTGGGGTGGCAACTTGCTCATACCGACCTTTGCTTTCCTTCTCCTGTACTTCGGGACTGGACACGGAGACCTCAGCCAGGCAGCTCCTTTCTTCCGGAAGGCCGCCCTTGGCCTCGGGGCTCTCCACCTGGGAGACTTTGGTGGGCTCCTGGCCGCTCACAGGCTCGTTCATCTTCTTTTCCATCTGCAGCTGGGCGGCCGAGAGCTGCGGCTTGGCCGCGCCGCGAGGGTTGAGCTGGAGCATGACTGTGGAGCTGCCTTCGGGGCTGTTATTGTACTCTTGGGTTTTCCCGGTGGCGTAGGTCTGACTCAGTCTAAAATATCCAGGGACAGGAACCTCGGGGTTCTCAACGGGACAGGACTCAGGGACCAGCCTCTGGTACGAAGGGACCTCAGCAGAAATGAGTTTGTTGCGCTTATCAGAATACATGCAGCAATTGGATTCTTCCTTAATGTTGGTGGTGAAGGAGCAAGTGGGGACTTGCTGTGTAACAGGTTGCTCTATTCGACAAGATCTGTTCGGGTCTGTCCAACTGTCTACTTGAGGTATATAAGGATGCACATTCATACCCATATTTTGGTGGTTCACTTCTCTTTTGGCCAGAGACGGGAGCAGTCCACAGGTTTGCATTCCATAGGTCCCCATGTCTGCGCTAGGTGGTGGCATGTACATGCTGGCGCTGCTCGAATAAAAACTGTCACTCCTGCAGGCACTGATCAAGGAATCTACTAAAAAAGTATTAGCAGCAGGAGAGCTGTTGGGAAAGGACATTTTGGGGAGGAATTTGAAGAAGAGAGATTGTGTCCTTTGTAGGCTGACATCTCTAGGAAAACATTCCCCGTGTAATTGTGGATGCCTCTGCCGACCACATGACAACCAAGCCAATGAGATTTGAAAATGGCCTTGAGCCGCAGCCTCCTCGCAGGTCACGTGCTCCAGAGCCCGGCCGGCCGGCCGCGTAAGCACGGACAACAGCGACATCTACTACGCGCCCGTGATAGTGCGCGCTGGAGACAACCGGCCCAGCGCTCTCCGTCGCCCGCCAGCCTCCCCGGGGCTCGTTCGGCCGGCCAGCCCCACTCGCGTCCCCCCGCTCCGGCCGCCGGGCCCCGCTGGCGGAAGGAAAGTCTCGGCCAGAGGGGCCTCCGGGAGGACACGCGCGGGGAGGGAAGCCGCAGTGCCGTGGCGCCAGCTCACAGAAGCATTCCCCGCACACACCCAGGCAGAACGCGCCCCAGAGCCGGGGCACGGGCGGGGGGTGGGTGCCCGGCTGGTTCAGTTTCTCCCGGGCAGCCTGGGAAGGTGAGTCGGATTCCCCGGGCTCTGCGACACCCCACCCCAGGGAGCCACAGTAAAGATCTCTCACGCAAAGACGCGGCCAAGTTATGGTGGGGAGCGGAGGCGAGAAGAGCCGCGAGGGCTAAGAGGCCAAGCAGCTGGCCAGCCCGGAGCCCCGAGGACCGGCCGGCTCTGGCGCTGTCCATTCCCTCCTCCGGCCCGAGGGAGATGCGGGCTCCCGGCCCCTCCGCGCCCCAGTGGGCTCTCCGAGCCTTGGAGCCTTCGGCAGTCGGAGGAACCACACCCCGACCTCTGCGGCCGGGCCGCTGGGAGCTTTCAGCCCGGAGACAATCCCTCGCCAGCAGCGGGCTATCCTGGAAAGCGTCCCTCCGGTTCCCAGCGGGAGAACGAAACCGAGGTTTCCCTCCCCACACACCCTGATAATAATGAGCAAAGAGGAAGGAAGGGAGGGAGAAAGAAAAGAATTTTTTGCAAGGAAAGGGGAAAACTCTCGCCCACAGACTCCAGAAGTTTTAGAAAACTGACTGGGCCGAGTAGCAGACAGAGAGGGATGCAAAGGTGTCATTTGGTTCTTCTGCAAAGAAAAATATGTTTTCCTTTTATGGATTTTGTAAAAGCATTGGTTTCTGACAAGTGCAAGGTACAAAAGGTTGTGGAATTTATTAATACATATTAAGAAGAATCAGGGCGATCAATAAAATTCTCATCTACATTCTTGGGCTACTTGGTAATTTTCTTGCTTCTGAAGGTTTTTAAAGAGTTATACCCGCTGTTGCCACACACGGGAAGATATTTTATTAACAAATCAATCGAGACTTTGTAAAGGATAAGATTAATAGTTAAGATTTAGCATAATGGCGTTGGCTTTATGAATTATTGAAAATTATACTATTGATTTTTCCCCTTCGCTACTAACCAAGAAGGTCAATTTTTGTTTTAACACAAATCGTCAAATATTAAAAGCTATACTTTTGTCAGAAGTTGAGTTTTATAGTTTTGGACAATTCCTAAAATCATTTGACACCGGTTTGCTTGGGTAAGGGGAGGGAGAAAAAAAGGAGGTGGGAGAACCTTAGTCCTCTGTTTCCTTTGGTGACGGAAAGTTCTATAAAGAGGATTTGGTCTGGGGTTGTGGTCGAGCTCATTAAAGAACAACCACCATCACCACCATGGAAACTCAGAGTTTTATGAGAAACTTCTCCAACAACTTCCTTTCTTGTTCTCTGGTTGCAGGCGGGTGAGCCGCCCTTCGGAAGCCCCGGCCTCGGGGCAGCAGCGGGGAGCTTTAACCTTGATTTCCAAAGGCTTGCCCTAGGCGAGGGGCCGGGCCAGGGCACAGGAGCCGTCCTCGGGCTTCCCAGATCCCCTTCCCAGCATCTGAGAGAGGAAAAGGGCCCCAGAAACCCTGATTGGGAACCAGTTTCTCTCGGTCCGGGAAGGCGTCTGTGTTTTCTTCTCTCCACACTCGCCTTGTGCGGGCTGGCCTTGGATTTCAGGCCCAGAGACTGAACTTGTGGGCAAATTGGGTTTCCGCCTCAGCAGAACATTTCTTTGGAGCCCGATGCTCATTAACGCGTCTCAGCATTCTTGGGGAACTAGGAGCCTGCTCACTCCTTCACAAAAACCTTTTCCAATAAACCCTTTGTCCCCCCTCCCCAAAAGGAATCTCCCCTGGCCTGGTGGAAACAGGCGCTGAACATTATTTTCGGCCTTGGGACCACTTTGCCTGTCCCCTCTAAGTGCCCTCGCCCAAACAATAACCCCTTTTAAAAAAAACTCCACGGTGGCAATGAGACAGACCTTTTAAACCTTTACGCAGCTGTTCAAATACAACATCATTGTCAGGTTAAAAGCCTGGCGCCTCTAACTGCTCCGGCTGCGGGATGCCGGCTGGCGAAGCCCGGGGTTTAAACATTACCTTTCCGCAGGGGTGGCTGATTTTAAGCTTGAGGATGGGGAGGTGGCGGTGAGGAAAGCAGGAGAAAAAAAAAAAATCCAACTTTTCACTCTAGCCTGCTACAGTCCTGTTCAAAGCTAACAGCCGCTGACCATCACCCCCAAAATGGTTTTATCACAAGGTGGAGATCATGATCCCGGCCACGGTTAAGCGTGCCCAAGGCTGGACAAAGTGCCCGCTGCACACACTCTCGGCAGGCACCCTGACGCCAGCCTGGCGCTCCAGGACTGTCGTCCCTTTGCATCTCAGCCAGGGGAGCTGCCTGGAACTCGGATGTCCAATTCTCCCTATCCCACTCGTGAGACAAGACTGTTTAATCTAATCGGGAATTTTATGCCCATCAAATGCCCTTTCATAATCTTTATTTATACACGAAGAAAACATTAGGCGAAAACCCAGCAATTCCTTGCAGAGCGGGTAGGTCTAGCGGTGAGCCAAAACAAACAAGATCTGCCTTCCGAATTTGGGGGCCTTTCTGTTTCAACTCTCAGTGGCTTGGGGCTCTAAGTCACCCCCGCACTGGAAGCTTTAAGTAGGTCCTCTTCATTCACAGAAAACGTGTATCAGATATAATTTTGAATCTATTATCACAAAATTCTATTTTATTCTTTCTCAAATATCTGCCTTCAGACCAGTTCTTTGAGGCCAGAGACTCCAGTGTTTCAGGGCGATTTTATCATGAAAATTGAGCCAAATAGAAAGAATACAGGAGGATGATCTGGACCTGGGAGGATGGAACAACTGGCTAAGACTCTAAGGCTTAACTAACATGGGGCAAATGGAATGAAAAGGCAGTGGCTTTCGGGGCCAGCCTGTATTTTGCTTACGAGTATTTAATGTAGGTCCATAGCTGCTGTTTTCGATCATCTTTAGATCAGTTGGAGCAGTTACCACTAATAATAAATCAATATCGCGCCATAAAGGAGATGAATATCCATATTTGTGCGGAGACATCCTTCTCCCTGGCACAGCTCTTCCCAGAGAAAAATTAATAGGGTCGCTTTAGCAAGAAATTAGCATTTGTAATCAAGAAGTGGCTTGCATCTGCGCTCCTCTGTCACCAGGAAGAAGAGCAGTGACCCTGGGCCCGAGTAGACCTGGGGACTCCTAGGCTCACCCTGAATTCGGGCCCTGAGTGGCCTCGGGGCTGTGTCCCTCTTTGGGGGCAGAGCGGATGGGGACAAATTTTAAAGGCTTCTTCCCCAGGGAGCCCCTCCGGGTGGCACTGTGCCCCTCCCAGGCAACGTGAAAAGCAATCAGGGGGGCAAGTGGGGAGGCTGTGGAAGCCACCACCACCTCAATGAAGAGTGTGTGGAGATTGTGCAAAAAGGCTGGCCGCTGGGGAGCCTCTTTCCGTTACAGACACAAAAGACTCCTACTTGGCTCATTTTCCCTCCACTTCAGGATCTGAGACCTCGGTGACTCAAGATACATGGCCACACTCCACGAGCGCCACCGGCTCTGAACAGTCAGGAGGGGTTGGCTCTGCAGCCCCCCTAAGTCCTGGTCCAATCCTCTGTCCTTTTTCAGGCCCATGTAGGGCGCTGCTGGTAGGAAGGGAACTGCGGACTGCCGAGTACCCGAGTACCCGTTGTCTGAGGAAGGCTGCCAGCCAAGGCCAAGAGACCCCCGCCCCCGAAAGGCCACGTGCACCCCCGCTGCAGCTGCCTAAAGAGGAACACAACGACATTTGGGGAGGAGAGTTCTCGCCCCACCTGGACTGAGGCCCAGGTCAGGCTCCGAGAAATGTCGCTTCACGATAGCCACCCGCGGTCAGACAGACAGGAGTCAGGGGTGCCCGCGGGGAACACCTATGCCTCTGGCTGACGCCTCACTTAGGGGCTCGTGGCGCCCCAGCCTCCACTGAAGCCGATGCCGGCTCCCAGGGGTGGACCCAGGGCCTTTGGTCTAGGGTCTGGAGAAAGAAGACAGAGACAGTGGAGCCGAAGAGGCCAGCACTAATTCTGGGGGATGGAGGCGCTTCACAATGAACTTCGGGAAAGAAGGCATAGCCACCTTCCCTTAGAACGGCCCAGGTCCTGCAGCCCTCCCTTCTGGAACCTCCCTTTTGGACAAGGATGGTGACAGAGGCCCTCCCCAAAGTCAGGGGCTTTGCAAAAGGGGGATGGGGCACAAGGAGGACACGCGGCAAGAAAACCGCTTCCAAGAGCTGGTGCCAAAATCAAACTCCGTGCTCAAGGCCAGCAGGCGGCTGGGGAGAATGTCCAGGATTCTGTCAAAGGCAAAGCTCGTTTGTTTCAAATGCAACCCCCATTCTCTGCCACCTTGTAGTGTAAATGTTTCCCCGGGATGGTCTGCCGCTACCCGCAGCCACCAAGTCCAGCTTGACCCTGTCGCCCCAACTCATAGTTCTGCCAGAGCCTCCCATCACCGGGCACCAGGCACGGCTCGACTGGGGGGCACTCCCTCGCCCAGAACGACCCCCTCAGTCCCAACGCGGCTCATGGCTCATTTTCTCTGAGACCACACTCAGCTAAGTTGCCGGCGCCCTCATCTGTCTTAAACAAAAGCCTTTTAATCATCTCAGGCGGTCGGAGAGCGTACCAGGCGGATGCTGTTTTGGGGAGGAGTTGGTCCTACCCTGTATCCTTCTTCATACTCAAACCAACAAGAAAATGGTTTTCTCTAATTTAATTAACTCGCAGTGGCATGGCTTATTTCGAAATGCACATATTTGTCTTCTAAAAAATCTCTCCTCGACACCACCAGGTTATACTACGGTATTCTTTGCGACAGCCTTATCTTTAGGAAGACAACGATTAGGTGATTGTCTATTTCAGGAATCCGGGTAGCTCCCTTTCCTCTATCTTTATACAACTTCCCACACCTCGTGGCTGCTGAGAACAAACAAACAGCAAACAAATATCTTAGGGGCCGCCGGTTTCTAACGGGCTGAGATTGCCTATTAGAATCCAGTATTGGAAAGATACGGTACCGCGGCCTATTCCGCCAAACGCGGCTTCTGGAACGTGAGCACGCCCCCGTGTGGCTCTCCAAGGCCATGCAAACGGGAAACGGTATCTCTCGGTTGAGCTTACCTAAGAGGGTGGACACACAAGCTTGCTACATTTAGACGCAGTTAAAAAAAAAAAAAAAAAAAAAAACAGACAGCCGGAGAGAGAGAGAGAAATAAACCAGTTTTAAGATCCTGCAACGATCATACTACTAGGGCACTGACATTTTAACGGACGTCCAGAAATCCACACAAAGGAATCCCCTTCCGAACGAAATTATTCAATTGTAGGCTTTGTTTCTCTCGCAATTTTCACCAAAGGTTGAGGGGGCACTTTAGAAAACAGCACAAATATTTTTAGTTTTGTTCCATAAAGTACAATAATTTATCTGACGGGGCAACAGTTCCCCCCCCCCCCCAAATATAGCGAAGGTGTAAATCTGACTAGAGCTTCCTCTTTCAGACGCTTGCTTTTAAAGTCATGGTTCTTCATTACAGCAAAGGGGACTGCTATCTATGACACCCTCCCCCCCCAGAAAAAACCCACCTCAGTATATACCAGCTGTATAAAAAGCATGCTGGTAGACATTTTAATCTAACCAGTATTTAAAAAAGAAGTCAATTGCTATCGAATTACACAAATGTTTGAAGGGAAATTAAGGTTATTGATCCTGAAATTAGGAATTTGCTTAGATTTATGGTGAGCCCCTGTTATGATTCTGTGTGGTCATAAATGTATGTGGGGGTCTGGATATGTGTAAGCATGTGTGTGTGTGAGAGTGGGTGGCGGCTGAATATCACAGAAGAACCTTAAGGCGCCTAATTATTCAGAAAGGTTAAAGGTGATGACCTTGACATTTTGGAAGTTCAAAGGCATACACTTATGCACTTATGTTTTTCCTCCCCCCCCCCCAAACTTTGGCAATTAAAAAAATGTTGCATTTGGAAATGCATACCTCCTCTGAAGATGCATGGGGTCCTGTACACCTTATGGTTTTGTTTTGTTTTGTTTTTGACTTTGGGCTTAGGAGAGGTGAAGAGTCACAAGATTCGCTTTACTTTTTTCAGAGAAAGAGATGCTTTTCTCACTCCTCCAGTTTATTGCACATTGCGGAAATCTCTTTTGGGCCCACCAGAAGGTGTATAATATAACCCAATTAAGCTGTTTAGAACTTTGGCTTTTATGGTGTTGTCTAGACAGTTCAAGGTTTTGTAAACAGCCTGGCCTGGCCCTGCAACATAAAGTGCTGTTCAGCCCCCACCACATTCTTTAACTTGAAGCGATAAATGCAGTGAGGAGTGGGTCTGCAGCCTCAGGCCCTTTTGCAGGGAGGGGTCTTACCTCCTCTCCTGCAGGCCCGCTGTGACACTAGCAAGGACCCCAAGCCCTCTCCACCATTGGTAACGTCCTTTTGGCAAATTATTATTTTTTTTTCAATGAAGGTTTCTAATCTTGGTTTCTTTTGGGGGGGGGGACCCTGGCTCCTTGACAGCTTGTTAAGAGTGAATTTGGATTGTCTAACAAGTTGTTTTTTTTTTTTTTAAATGGTTTTTGCCTTTTCAGAAATTCCAAGTTCACTAAGCTGGGAAATAGGGGGGAGGAGACGTCCTTCCTAGGTCCTGCTCTCCCAGCCTCATTGCCTGGAGGAAGGAGCACCACCATGGCTGGGTCCCACCCTCGATTCAGAAATTCATCTCTAAAGTGAATTTTAAAATGAGTGTAACCTAGAGAAGGTGAGAGAGAGCTACTCTTATTTCAGCAGGATCAAAAAGCATTTCACTTGATTTTCAGTTGCATATGGGAGAAGGTTCTGGCTACTCAAATCCCCTAATCAGACAATAAACTTCTTTAAAGAGGAAAAAAATCATATAGTGTGTTGAAGCTGTAACCTCCATTTTACTAGAAACCATTTATTCACACAAAACACAGTGACTTATGCCTCCATACGACAGACCAAAGGTACATTTCCCAGAGTTTAAATAATCTGCATTCACCAAGGGGGAAGGTCGGGTCCCTTAAACTCAGAACAAAAACAAGTGCCTTCCAACCAACCCAGCGGCCTAAACTCTCTACAGATCCCACAGCGTCCCCACGGGGACTCAGAGTGAGGGAGGGAGCACAACAGCACATTGGCGGTAAAATTGTAAAGGGACATTTGCATTTACCATTTTCCCCTTATTAGGATCCATTCGGCCAAGTCCCCGGCCTCGTCCGCAGGCAGCAGTGGTCGCTGGGAGGTCCCGAGTTGACCGTGGGAAGGAATCGTGGCGTTCCACAGAGAAGAGGCGTCATTAAACCCAAGGACATTGGGCCTGCCGAGGGCAGGTTGCTGGGGAGGTGGGTGGGTGAGTGGGGCTCGGGGAGAGGGGTGCTTCCTGGAGCTCTCAAAATAAGGGGTTTCCAGTGAAATACTGCAGACGGTCTCTGTTCAGTTTCTTTTCTTTCATTCTTCGATTCTGGAACCAGATTTTGACTTGCCGGTCAGTGAGGTTGAGCATCCGAGAGAGTTGGAGTCTTTTCTCTTTGTTTATGTACACGTTAAAGAAAAACTCGCGTTCCAGTTCGCGGATCTGGTACTTGGTGTAGGGACAGCGCTTTTTCCGGGACCGCTGGGGGGCCACTGCAAGGCAAAGAAACCAAGAGGTGAGAGAGACCGCTGACTGCCCACCCCCACCCGCCCTGCGGCCCAGGCCCAAGCGAGGGCCAGGCCTCGGCCCGTTGGGGACGTCCCCTGCCGCAGCTGAAAGACCCTGCTTGCGTCGTGGGGGATGATATATGGGCGGGCACAGGAGAGTGCGGGCGTGGACGTGTGTACACGCCCGGACACACACACACACACACACACACACACACACACACTGGCACAGAGGCGGAGAAGCAGAGGGCAAGGCAGGCTCTGAGTTGGAACCCTAAGGGAGAGAAACACGAGCGCGCCGGGCATCTGCTCCGACTCCAGCCAGCAGCGCGCGTCAGCCAGAGGCTTGGATAAAGTCCAGTTCAAGGATCTCCCCACCCCACCCCCCTTAGAAGCAGGAGGCTCCAGTGTCCACACTCACCAAGTGGCTTGAAATCTCCCCTCCCTCACTCCATGGTCTCTAGCACCACCCCACCCCCCCAAACTGGGGAAAAGCTCTCTGTAGCGATTAATGTCCCCTCGAAGTCTACCTTAAGCCCACCTAAATTGGTTTCCTATCGTAAACACACTTTACAACGGCCCGGGAAATCTTATAGGATGTATAAACCCCTTCGAACGCTTATAAAGCAGCACATAAAACGGCGCAAGCAGAGGGAGGCCCCCGCCGCCCCCCCGCGCCCGCGGCCCCCCGGCCCAGCCGCCCACCCCGCACCGGGTGCCTACCTGTGCCGCCACTCTTTTCAGCCCCCGCCTCCCCCGGGGGCCCCTCGCCGTCGCCGCCGCCTCCTTCTGCCGCCCCCTTGGGCTCCGAGCCGGGGGTCGCCTTGGCGCAGGGACTTCCCCCGCCGCCACCGGCCCCCGTCTTGGGGTCGCCCTTGTCGGCAGCGCCCTCGGGCTGTGGCGGCGCAGGAGGCGGAGGGGGCTGCGGCCCGGCGAACGGGGGCCCGGGAGCAGCCTCGTAGAACTGGTCGAAACCCTGCGGCAGGATGCCGTTGCGGCCCACAGCGCTGTAGAAGTTGGAGGCGGCGCCCGCGGGGCCGTGTGGCGGCCCGGGCGCGGCGCACACTGGCTCGGGCGCCTTGAAGAGCACGTCCGGCCGGCGGCCCGCGGGAGGGAGC